CTGACACATATAAAATGTAAAATCTAGCTATGTCTATTACTGATTTTCATAAAGATTTTAATACAGTAGAAAAAAATGCAGCTTTGAAGACCCTCCTCAAAGTATCTTTCATATATAAGTCAGTAAGACTCCTTCAACGATCTGAGTATTGACATGTAGCAAAACGTATACAGAATTACATATGCTTTTCTAAGGTGTTTGTAAATGTCACTGTCTTGTGCAGAGCCCAAACAAAAGATTTGTTATTAAGGTCAAATATGCTTATTCACAGATGTGATCACTGCACTGTACATTGTACTAACATAGCAAGCCCGGAACTCCTGTTTATACAGCACTAAAGTATATAAAGTGTTTTCTTCAAACCAACCCTTTGATGTAGCTATAGAAAGATTATGCACATTTTACAGATGAGAATACCAAGTAATATGCCCATGGTCACACATCTAGTGACAACCTAATTTCAAACCAGATCTCTTGACTACAGAACCTGTGTTCTGTTCCACCATTCATTCCTAGCAGAGTTCAGTCATAGTAACATATGGCCCAGACTATGCTAAGCAGCTACACGAAAATTTTAAGAAGTCAGTATACCAACACACATATTTTGGACTGGCATCACATATGGGACAATTAGCTGGCACCAGAAACCAGGAAGAAGTCAGAGCAGATCATATTTAGAAAACTGAACAGTGCTTTATTTTATGTATTGATTTATTTTTATATCAACTACTTTTCCCACAGGATCCCTCATTTCTACCCCTCCCAGAATAATTTTAAAAAAAGAGAGAGGAAAAAAGTGTTCCACAAAACTAACCAACAGATGAAGATAGGTAGCACAGTGAACAGAACACTGGACCTAGCATCAGAAAGATGGCCTCAAATATATACTAGTTGTATAACTCTTGGGCAAGTCACTTAACCTCTGTCTGCCTCAGTTTCTATATCTGTAAAACAGGGAAAATAATAGCAACTACCTCCCAGGGTTGTTGTGATAATCAAATGAGATAACCTACATCCAGCTCTCTTCATTTCCCACCTGGCTGCACTACTTTTGAGATTTCTCTGACTTCTTTACCATGCTCCCACGTGTTACCTCTCCATTCCCGGTTTCAGCTTTTTTTTTTTGTATGTTGTCTTAGATTTGTAAGCTCCTTGAAGGCAGGGGCTGTTTTTCCGTTCTTGTATTTGTATCTCTAGAGTTTAGCACAGTGCTGGCACATTTTAGGTGCTTTAATAAATGTTTATCAACTATTGCAAACTTTAAAGTGCTACATAAATGTTGGTTATTAGTAGTATTAGTATACTGGAACATTCTGACATCTACATAGTGTTCCATTCCCATGGTCCCCCATCGTTAAAAAGAAGTAGATAGAAGTGTCTTCTCATATATGAGCAGTGCTTTCAACAATCACAAAATGCTTGCTGCCACAGTGGATGGTACTATCCAATAGCTACCTATCTTCATCTGTTGGTTACTTTTGTCAAACTTTTTTCCCCTTTAAGAGATGGTTCTCTGGAAAGGGTGGGACACCCATTGGGAAAAGTAAATGATGTAAAAAACAAACTAAATCAATAAAACTTATTTTTAAAAATAAAGCACTGTTTAGTTTTCCAAATACGATTAGACCTGATCTCTTCCAGCAGATGTTCCAGCTGACAGGGGTGGGGAACCTGCGGCCTCAAGGCGACATGTGGCCCTTTAGGTCCTCAAGTGCGTCCCTTAACTGAATCCAAACTTCACAGAACAAATCCTTTTACTAAGGAGATTTGCTCTGTGAAGTTTGGATGCTGGAATCTAGCATCTCTTTAGCATCGTACATTATTCTCCTGATGATGCTATATGACTGCAAATCACAAAACACCACAATGTTAGGAAAAAAATTACAAATAACTCAAATGACAATGAAGATCTTGCTGGTGGTTTTAAGGTTGGCTACAGAATATTACCAAGATGTAAAAATGCTATAAAAAATATAAAGATTATGAAACTAAAAATGGTGACAGGTCAGTGATAATAGTGAAAATCAAAAGTGAGTAACAGAAAACTTTTGTGCTATGTACTACTGAGATCTTAGAAGAGCCAGAAGAAGTATGTTAGGAATGTTCAGGAGATTTGTGATCTTTATGAGTGAAGGGAATATCCATACCAATGAAATCATGGTTCCAAAGCAAAAGAATTCCAATTGGAAAAAAAAAGACATTTTCCAAATCTCTATAGCGGTTACATATACCATTCTTAATCTGAGATGGCTTTCTTATTATTAGCGCATAGTTGTTTACAGGTTGACTCTCCCCTTAGAAGGTGAATTACTTGAGAGCAGGATGTGTTTGTGCTTTTCTTTTTGTATCCCTAGCACTTAGCCTGAAATATAGTAAATACTTGTTCATTGTCTGACTGCTGTATTTCAACTTGTTTACTAGATCTCAAAATAAGCTTTTAAAAGTATTTGCTTCTCTTTCAACATTCAGCCACGACTTTTAAGCTACAAAATATTTTTAACTTCTAAGATTATATATCTCATTTGGATATTTTCTCTGTCCTTTCATTTAAAAATATTTAAATTCGTATTCTGTCCTTAGTTCATCCTCCTTGCAAAATAGAAAGATCTCTATTTCTCAAGTGTGTACTTAAAAAATCCATTCAAAGAAAAAAATGTGAATAAAAATTATGTCAGAAATATTAAAATGCTCCTATAGTTTTATGTTGTTTCCATTTTTTGTATTATCTTCAACACATACTTTATTAATTTTTTGTCAAAGACCGGTTTATTTTTCCAAGATTAGTAATAATTTTTTTAAATTTTTTAGTCTACTTTTTTAAAAAAAGAAAAATGTTGGCTTAGATTCACAGTTCTGAAAATATAAACAAATATTTCAAAAATGAAATTAAAATAGGTAGCATTTATATCACAGTGTGGAGACAATGTAGTACTCTGGATTTAGATCGATCACTGTCACAGTTGAAGTTTCAGTTCTGTCACTAGCTAGAGATAAGTCAGAACTATGAACCTTGTTATTTTTTTTTTTCCTGAGGGGAGGAAGGAACTGCATCTTCAATTTCACTGCACAGGGAACTCCTAGTCTGAAAACATCAGCACCTGATACTCAACTGTCTAACCTAAAAATTAGTTGCCCTGGCCTTAAAGATTAAGTGACTTATTCAGGGTTATAAAACTAGCATGTGTTAGAGGTGGAAGTAGGTCTTACAAACTCAAGAGGCTGACTCTATACCTAAACTGTGTTGAGATCATATGTAATGTGAGGATTATAATACTTCAATTTCCTAATTCAAATGGTTGAGGATCGAGTAAAATAATGCACTTATAACGCATAATGAAAAAAGCTATTCATATTTTTATGAACAATTTTCATTCCAATTTGGGCCAGTGCTCTCATAAAAAGGATGTGAAAAGAAATCCCCACAACATAATCCCACAAGTGGTTATCCAGCCTTTGCTTTAAGACAGTCAATGAAAGAAAATTCACTACTTCTAGAAGCAATCCATTTCACTTTTGGAAATGTTTAAGTTTTTACTAACATGAAATCTAAATTTGCCGTTTTGCAAATTCCACTTGATGCTTCTGCTAGATCTGCCCCTAAATCCAAACAGAATAAATCTAATCCCTCTTTTCAAAAAGAGGCAGAAAGGTTACTTTGTAAACAAAGTTCTGGAGTAAAACAGAAGGTGTCTTGAATGAAAAAGGTCTCCTGAATTAGGTTCTTTTGCAGTAAACTAGTGACTCACTGTAAATTCAATAGCTTAAAATAATTACTAGTTACTTCAATACTCCAATGGATTTGTGATTTCATCCATGTGGACACTCCAAAAATATAACTAGTTGGAAATACTTTCCACTTTACAGTTCCTGTTGCATTATCCAGGAGCTTCAAAACTCTTCACAGTGAACTTAAGATCCGAGTTAATATCCACACTTGAACAAATCCCACAAACATAAAAGGAAAAAAAAAACTAACTAAAAAGTCATTTCTAGGCTATCTGCAAGGCCTCAAGTGTACATCAAATTATACTTAAAGACTACAGAAACTAGTCGGGGACGCTCTAGTGGGGATAAATTAAGTGGGATAAGAGATCAAGAAGACTTTGTTTTCAGGGTTCAGGGGAACGATTAAGTGCCTCTGGGGCTTTCTGAGAACATTTTGGGGAGAGGGGCAGTTTAAAAATCACTCAGTAACGACCCACGGGGCAGTGGGGGAGGATAAGCCCCGTCTTCTTGACTTGGGGACAGGAATCCTAAAGTGGCCTCCCTTTCCTCTTCCGTATTCTCAGTTTCCAGGGTCGCTGACAGCTTGGGGCCGGACTTTTCAAAGAGAGGTTGAACTTCACTAGCTTGTGGCCCTAACTCGGACCTGCAGTGACCCTCCTGGGACCCTGACCGCCTGCACCTGTTTTCGGGGTACCCCGACCCCGTCCGGCCCCAAGGAGCCTGGCGTCCCCCTGGGCTAGGGGCCGCCGTTGGGGGCTCCCCAGGCGGGACGAGCCCAGGGACCCCGCAGGCCCGAGGCTTCCCCGCTCTCGGCCCCGCTCACCTTCGGGGACTGGCCTCCGGGCGTAGCCGGGTCGCTGTCGCACAGCCGCGGGGAGAGCACAGCCCCGGGGGTGGCGGCCGCCGCCGCCATCAGCCCGAGCCCGAGCCCCCGCGCCGCCGGCGCCGCCGCCGCCGCCGCCTCGTCCTGGCCGCCGCCGCCGCCGCCGCGCGGAGAGGCCGCCGCGGCGTCCGCTCCCCCGGCCCCGCCCCCTCCCCTGCCCCCTCCGCCCGCCCGCCGCCGCCGCCGGGCGGCCGGCCCCGGCCCGAGCCCCGGCCAGCGCCGCCGCCGCGCGCCCCCCGGCCCGGCGCCGCCGCCGCCACCGTCACCGCCACGGTCGCCGCCAGCGTTGCTGCCGCCGCCGCCTGAGTTCCCGCCGCCGCTGCTAAGGCTGCTGCCGCTGCCGCCGCCGCCGCTGCTGCTGCTGCCCGGAGAGCAGGGGAGCGGGAGAGGAATGGAGGAGATCGCGGCTCAGCCCCCTCCTCACGTCACCCCCTTCCCCTCCCACCGAAGCCCGGCTCCCCCGCCCCCTTCCCCATGGCGCTGCCGGCTCCGCCGGCTCGCTCCCCCCTCGCCTCGGTTTCCCCACCCCGCCCCCTCCTCGCCAGCCTCCTTCCGCAGCCGCAGCCTCGGCGGCCCCGCCCCTCCTCTGTTCTCCGCTCCCGCCTCAGCCGCAGCCGCAGCTGGGCTGCTGTGCGCATTGACCGCTGCCCCGCCCCGCCTTTGTGTGGTGCGCATCCGGGGGCCTGCGCGCCCGCCCCGCTCCCCTCCTGGCCCTGCGCCTGGGGCGGAGCGGGCCTTCCCCGGGCGGGTGCTCAGTCCCGCGGGGCGTCCGGCTTCTTGTTTTGCCGGCTTGCTCTCCGCATCCCTGGCTGCCTTTGTCATCCCCGCTGTGGCATTTTGTTTACTGGAAAACACCCCAGGAAAAGGGCCGCGGGTTCGTCGTGGCACAGAAAGGGTTGGAAAGCCCTCGTCCAGGGCACTGTACGGGAGTCTGCACTAGGGGAGCCCCGGAAACAATTGGGGGGGGGGCAAATCTAAATGGACCTGAGACGGAGTGGTATTTACAAACTTGGGGATCCCTAAATGGAACCATGCACCCAATCACTCCGGCGCTGAGATAGATGTCTATCTCAATATGGGGTGATTCGGCTATACATACATACACATGCATGCACACACATATGAGAGAGAGTTGCCGATTGGGATATAGATAGGCCAATATGTAGTTGGTGTACATATATAATCCTACATATATAAATGTAATCATATGTGTATGTGTATATATATATATACATATGTATGTGTATATACATGTGTATATATATACATATGTATGTGTATATACATGTGTGTGTGTATATATATATATGTATGTTGTGTATGTATATATGTGTGTATGTATGTTCCAACCTATCACCCCAGATTGGGATTAGATGGGAATTAGATATCTATATGTCACCACTGAGGTGTGTAGAGAGATACATGGATGGATGGATGGATGGATGTTAATAATGTTCATGCTTAGCTGTTTCTTTGTTTCTCCTCTCTCTAGGCCATGCTACTTTCTTCAGCTTTAGGTATTCTAGTTCTCTGCTTTTTAAATTTTGTTTCCTCTGAGCCCTTCCCTGGGCTCCCCCCACCACCAGCGCCCAGCTTCCCTAACATTTCTGGCTTTCTCCTGCATAAACTCCAATGACCCACAGAATTGCATAGCACTGAAATAACTGAATTCCTGTATTCATCCATTCGACTAATAATGTGGCTTATTCTGTGACTTTATATTGAGATAGGGTGATTTGAGGTATGCACAAATTGCAAGCTAAAATGAGAAAAATGTGCTGAGTTTACAAAATGCTGTTAGTTGTAAAGGACCATTTTTGGCTTTGGAAGAAGGATGAGGAAAGTTCAATGAAGGAATGGGCCTTGAAAGGTGCTTAGGAACTGGACTGGTAGAGGTGAAGCAGAAAGGCATTTATTTATGGTGGAGGATACAATGAATAGAGATAGGAAAGTGGAAAAGCAGGAATCCCATTCAGAAAAGTTTACCTGGAGAAGGGTTAGGAAGGAAAGTAGTGGTAACTGAGACTGGAAAGGCATATTGTTGCCAAATCTTTCAAGGCCTTGAATGTGAGGCTAAGGATTTTGGACATATTTGATGCCTACCTGTGTTTTATTTGTTTGTCTTTATGCTTCAACTTCCTATTACCAATCTTCTAGCATTCTCAAATGTACATTAAAAACCCATAGATAAAAATTTCAGAGCAGGTAGGTGGTATAGTGGATAGGGCACTGGCCTTGACATCAGGAGGACCTGAATTCAAAACCGACCTCAGACCAAACACTTGACACTTACTAGCTGTGTGACCCTGGGCAAGTCACTTAGCCCCAATTGCTAAAAAAAATAATAAAATAAAAATACTTTGTTTACACTAGCTGTGTGACCCTGGGCAAGTCACTCAACCCCAATTGCCTAATAAAAGAAAAAAGAAAAAAGAAATCAGAATCCAACGATATGTTGTTTATGAGAAACACACTTGAAACAGAGAGGCATATACAGAATTAAAATAAGGGGCTGAAGCAGAATCTGTTGTACTTCAGCTGAAATTAAAAAAGGCAAGGGTAACAATCATGATCTCAGACAATGTAAAAGTAAAAATAGACCTAATCAAATGGTACACGTAGGGAAGTTACATCTTGCTAAAAGGAACCATAGACAATGAAGTAATAGCAGTACTAAAATATATGTACCAAATGAAGATCTCAACTTTCCCCACTGAGAGCTAGAAAATCTAACCACAAAATAAGACAGAAGTAAAGGAGACAGAATATTAGAAAAGTTAGATTAAAGACTTCTGGGAAAAAATGAATGGGAATAGAAAAAAATATACCTTTTTCTCAGCTATACATGGCTTCTTCACAAAAACTCACCATGGATTAGGGTATTAAAGACCTCACAATCAAATGCAGAAAAACAGAAATGTTCAATGTAGCCTTTTCAGAGCATGAGGCAATAGAAATTACATTTAATAAGGGGCCATGGAAGAATAGAGTAAAAATTAATTGGAATCTAAATAATCTAATTGTAAAGAATGAGGGGGTTAAAAAAATCATAGAAACAATAATTTCTTTAAAGAGAATGACAACAATGAGATAACATTCCAAAATTTGTGGCACAGTAACATATAGGGGGGAAAGCAGTATATAGAGGGAAATTTATATCTTTTTTTTTTTTTAAGGCAGTTGGGGCTAAGTGACTTGCCCAGGGTCACACAGCTAGTAAGTGTCAAGTGTTTGGTCTGACGTCGGATTTGAACTCAGGTCCTCCTGATGTCAAGGCCAGTGCTCTATCCACTACACTACCTAGCAGCTCTGAAATTTTTATCTTTAAATGTATACATAAAAAGGGAAGATCAGTGAATTGAGCATGCAACTAAAACTAGAAAAAGAACAAATTAAAAATATCTAATTAAACGCCAATTTGGAAATCCTTAAAATCTAAGGAGAGATAAATAAAATTGAACATAAAAGCCCTTGAAATAAAGCTAGGAACTATTTTATGAGAAAATCCAATAAAATAGATAAACCACTGTTTACTTTTTTTTAAAAAAGAAAGAAGAAAGGCTTATTACTAGTATACAAATGAAAAGGGTGAATGCACAGCAATGAAGATGAAATTAAAGCAGTTATTAAGAGTTATTTTGCTTAAGTATATGCCAGTAAAACTGACAATATAATTGAAAGGATTGGATATTTACAAAAATAAAAATTGCTGAGATGAATAGAAGAGGAAATATAATACTTAAATAACCCTTTCTTAGAAAAAGAAGCTGAATTAATGAGCTCCCTAAGAAAAAATCCCCAGGACCAGATGGATTCACAAGTAAATTCTACCAAACATTTAAGGAACAAGTAATCACAGTACTACATAAACTATGTGGGAAAATAGGCAAAGAAGGAGTCCTGCCAAATTCCTTTTATGACATAAATATGGCTTAGATACCTAAATCAGGGAGAGCAAAAATTTGAAAAAAGAAAACTATAGACTAATTTTCTTAATGAATATCGACCCAAAAATTTTAAATGAAATACTAGCAAGGAGATTAGAGCAATATATCGCAGAGATCATACAGTATGACCAGGTGAGGTTTATTCTAAGAAGGCAGGGCTAGTTCAATGTTAGGAAAACTATCAGCATAATTGATCATGTCAATAGAAAAATCATATATCAATAGATGCAGAAAAAGCTTTTGACAAAATAAATATTCATTCCTATTAAAAACACTATACTAGAAAGTATAGGAATCAATAGAGCCTTTCTTAAAGCAATAAGTAATATCTATTTAAAATCAAGAGCAAGTGTTATCTATAATGGACATAAACATGAAGCCTTCCCAGTAAGATCAAGGGTGAAGCAAGGATGTCCATTATCACCATCATCATTCAATATTGTAATAGCAAGACAAACCCAGGGATTATCTTAACCCAATTACAAAACACCTTTCACACAAAGATCTAAACAATTGGAGAAATATTAATGGCTCATGGATAGGCCTTGCCAATATAATAAAAATGACAGTTCTATATAAGTTAGTTACTTATTCAATGCCTTACCAATAAAACTACCAAAGAATTATTTTATAGAGCTAGAAAAGATAATAACAAAATTAATCAGGAAGAACAAACAGTGAAGAATATTAAGGGAATTAATGTACCAAAAGTGAACAAAATCAGTCTAACAGTTACAGATTTCAAGTTATATCACAAAGTGGGAATCATCAAAACAATCTGGTACTGGCTAAGAAATAGAGTGGTGGATCAGGGGAATAGATTGAGTACATATACAGTAGTTAATGAACATAGTAACGGAGCATTTGATAAACATAAAGGTCCAAGCTTTGGGGATGAATACTCAACATTTGACAAAAATTGCTGGGAAAACTGGAAAGCAGTTTGGCAGAAACTAGGCATAGCTCAACATCTCACACTGTATACCAAGATAAGGTCAAAATGGATAAATTTTTTAGACAACAAGGGTGATATAAGTAAATTAGGGGAGTGTAGAAAGCTGTAGCGTAGATCTATGGATATGGGAAGAGCTTATGATCAAGCAAGAGACAGAAACAATCACATGAAGTATAATTTTGATTACATAAAATTAAAAACCTTTTACACAACCAAACTAATGCAAACAAAATTAGACAAACTAAGAAATTAGGAAACAAAGGAAAAAAATTACAAGTTTCTCTGATAAAGGTCTCATTTTTCAAATATATAGAGAACTGAGCCAAATTTATAAAAAGAAGAGACATTCCCTAGTAGATAAATGGTCAAAAGATAAATGTCAAAAAGTCAGTTTTCAGAGAATTCAAAGCTATCAATTGTCACATGAAAAAAATACTCTCAATTGCTACTGATTAGAGAAATACAAATGAAAACAAAGAACATATACATTGGCACTTGGTAATTCCTGAATCACTTTTTCAAAGACTTTAGTAGGAGGTTATAATCTGCTGAAATATGAGAATTTCCCAGCCTTTCACATCTTGCCTGTATATATCATTAGTAGAAACAATATTGCAGACATTGCTTCATCCCTCTGGCAGAGCGAAGTGCCATTTGGGTCCTTGGTGAGGCAATGTGGATTAAGTGATTTGCCCAGGGTCACACAGCTAGTAAGTGTCAAGTATCTGCACTGAGATTGGATTTGAACTCAGGTCCTTTTGACTCTAAGGCCGGAGCTTTATCTGCTGCACCACCTACCTACCCTTTAATTCCTTTTAAAGAAAAAGTAGCAAAGCTGATGTGGGGTAGGGCCTCAGAATATTGTTCCAACCACATTGTATGTATATGTTTACATGTGTGTATATGTATGTGTGTATATGCATGTTTTTTATCTTTCCCACTGTTAATCAAAATTAATCTCTTATGAATAAAGGCTGTATCCTATCTTGCAGATGATAAAAACCATAAAATTGTTTACACAAAGTAGACCAAGATCTACAAAACTTTTTTTTCTTTTTAAACACTTACCACAAAGAAGCTACTGTTCAGGGAGTGCATGGAGGAGACAAAGATGAATAAAATAGGGTCCCTGCTGTTAAACAGCATAGAGTCTTCTTTTGGGGGAGATGTGGCAAATACTAAAATGCAAATTAGAATATGGTATGTGCAGTGAAGAGGTACAAAGCATCATGAGAGAGCTGAGGAGGGATAGATTATTTTTGTCTGTATGTATCACGGAAGACTATGAGGTGACATCCAAGTTAGGTATGATATTTGGGCAGGATTTCAGCAGGTAAAGATGGAAGAAAGGTTTTATTCAAGGTATGACAAGTGACTTCAGAATCTTAGTTTTAAATTAGTTCAGCAAATGAAGCCACACAACACCATCTAGCCTTTTGTTTTTATTTTTGTTTTAAACTAATTTTGAAATGCATTATATTAATTTGGCAAGTATTATATGCTCATTTAGAACCTAGACATTCTAGTCACATTTATCAGAAGACTTGTCACTTTTGAATAATGATGATGGTGATGATGATAATAAGCTTATAAATCAACTTGTATTGTGTTCCATTCTCTTTCTTTCTTGTTTGTTTTTGGCTAGGCAACGGGGTTAAGTAACTTGCCCAAGGTCACACAGCTAATAAGTGTTGTGTGTCTGAGGCTGGATTTGAACTCAGGTCCTCCTGAATCCAGGGCCAGTGCTGTATCCACTGCGCCACTTAGCTGCCCCTTCCGTTCTCTTTCTTAAGTAACTCTAAAATTCTACAATCTTATCATCCTAAATTCCCAAATGGCTATATTTTTTGCACCAAGAAAGCAGATTACTTATAGTATGCACCTGGTAAAGTCAAGTCCATCATTGAAAAGATACTATCTGAATAATTCTTTTGCCATTACCAATATGATTCTCCACTTTCCCTACTCCCTACCACATCATCTAAGATAGAAATGACCTGGTATGCTTATACATTTCTGTTTCTCTCTTTGATTTCTATCCTAGAGATAACTATAATTTTGTGGAATTTTTTAATGTAGAGAGGGCTCTAGAAATGTACATTGTTTATTCATTTTATTAGTCTAAATGGAATAAGCTTATCATATCTCGTTTTGCTTTATGTTGAAGTCTGTGGTCATGGTATTAGAAATTCTTCAGGGAAAGCATTGTGTGATCATTATTTGTACTCTTGGAAGTGGGGTTCACTTTTCCCTAAAGATCAGATTTTAGGAGGAAAAGTATGAACCAATCAAAACTGAAAGCAGGGCCATGGAATAGAAATCAAGAGTTGTGGGATACTTAACCAACAGTCTCAGAATTTCCCAGCCTAGTCTAAAACATCAGTAAGAGGCAATGTATTTAATTCCAGTTTCTTGAAATGCACTTGGCTACTTATCATGACTAGCTTTAAAATTTACTAGTTTTACAGGTTACTAGTTTTATTGGTTAAGTCATATGCATGCTGCCAAAAAGGAGAAATAGATTTTACCCTTTTGTGCATAAAACTTGGTTTTCTATACTAAATTGCTGTTTCCTTATTGGGATATCTATCTAATGTATGTTTTCAATCATACTTGAGGAATTAGCTTTGCAGTTTGCCTCTATCAAACTTCCTAAAGAAAGTCTCTCATCTTAATTTGAATTCAACATAAATTGTGTGTTTTCTCTGATATTTTCCCAACAGGTACATCCACTTACAAGTTTTCTGCAAAGGAGACTGTCAAGATGTTCAGTCAGGAAAATTCAGGGTATGATGCAGCCGCTTTAAACAGACATCACTGACCTTGGCAGGTAAGGAATGGCAGTGTCCAAAAGGAAAGAAGGGAAGGGAGGAAGGAAAAGTGAGACTTGCTATATATCAGACACTGTACTAAGTAGTGGAGATATAAGTACAAACAGAAAGCCAGTCCTTGCCCTCAAATAGATTACATTCTAATAAGGCGAAGACATTTGTAAGGGTGTAATGGACAAAGAGAAATATTTTGGACTGAAAGTCATAGGAAGGCTGAGCATAATCAAAGACATTTAATATACATTTATTTTCCAGTAATGGTAATGTTGACTTGATTATTTTCTGCAGATCTAAAGCTGGAAATGGGGAGGGTACACGTGACATTATTGCATATGTTATTGCACAAACACATATGGAAATAGACTGTTTCTACATGCCCTACTCCATCTATGTTCTTTTTGGACTGTGGTTCCCAGAAGATTGTGTGTAAGCTTCCTTAAACTGTTCAGACTTTGGCCTGAACAAGTATATACTCTGGTTTGTGTCTAGGACATGGTTGTCATTTTTTCATGAGACTGTCTGTACCTTTTCATTAGCTGTCTATCATGCTTGGAATGCTCTCCATCCTAATCTCTGTCTCCTGGCTTGCCTAGATTTCTTCAAGATTCAACTCAAATTTATTTTCTGAAAAGATGTTGTATGGGACAAGTGAAAGTTTCTCATGTAAAGATGTAAGCTATGCTCCATAAATGTAGTAAGGCTTCAGCATGAGCTGGGCCTAAGTTTCACTTTCGTTTCTGGGGAAGGGGGTTGTGTACCAGCTGCCCACCCCCCTCTCTTGTTTTGTTACCACCCCCTCTGTTGTTTTGTGCCTTAACTTTACCAAAGGCAATCCTCTAGCTCCCAAGCTAGTTTTGAGTAAAATGTATCTCTTGGGTTCTGAATATAGACTTGTGAGGTCTCTTGCCTCAGCCAATGAGGATAAAGAGATTGAGACAAACAGGTGGGGAGGGGGGCTTTTTGGAATGGTTTGTTTAAGACTACATGTACTGCTTGCTGTTGTTTGCGCTGGGTCTCACTACTCCAGTCTGCCCTGGGTAGGAGACGCCCAACTAGCATAAAACCTTCTGTTTTCTACCTGGAGATACCTCTGAGTTTTTATTTGGGTAAATGGTCTTAAAATTCCACTCAACTGGGAGCTGGTCCGGGACTTTCTTTGATTAGGGAGGGGGCTTCCTTGCTGAGGTCAAGACCAAGCGAGCATCTGAGATTTTTCGGAGGTCTTGAGCCCTGGAGGGAGGTTACCACCCAGTCATTGAAATACACCTGAAGAAAGGGACTCAGAGAAACAGAAGGTTTGTTAGGGCTCAGACAATTAGGGACGAAACTGAGAAATTCCGGCCGGCCAGTGGCTGAGAGCAATCACATAAGTTGTACATATGCAACCCAGAGGTAAGCACTCAGGGGTCTGGAGGTAATTGGCACAGGGTGAGGGCCCTTTAGGATGGACTCTAGTCTGGGCAGAGTCCAGGCCTGGTCAAATTATGGAATAGATACCTCCTCGGAAGGATGCTGCTGAGAAAGCCTCATGGGTGAGTGGTGAGGAGTGGGCAACCCTCCTCGGTAATTTGGCTCAGTCTATCTTTAGACTCGGGGAGTTTGGTGACGGCTCCTGTAAATTCCCTAGGTGAGGGCCTAGGGATTCCCTAAGAATAGGAAAGGGGCAATCTAAATCTGCGCAATTGGAGTGCAAATGTAGGGTACCTATAGACAGCCCTTTAGGCAATTGATTTCAGAATTGGAATGGACTACCAAAATACAGAGGAAAGGATAGGAAGAAAATGATTAAATATTGTTGTTTTATCTGGGGCAGAATGGATATCGGGGGTAGCACTGGGTGGCCGAAATTTGGATCCTCTGAAGATTGGATATGCCAAAAGCTAAATTTGTATGTGAATGCTAAGGAACCTTTCAATTCGGAGGAGAGTTCCTATGGCACTTTGTATGCCTGAGGTGTGGCAGATGTTGGTGAAGGACAGGGAGGGAAAGAAGGAAGAGATTTGGCCCCACCCTTGGGACCCTCTCCTTTCCCTTCCCCCTCCCTATGTTACTCCTCCTCTGGAGGCTGCTGCTGGGTCTGCTCCTCCTGATCCTATACCAAGCCTGGCTCCCCCTGAGAAGGAACCAAAGGGCGACCTTACCGATTTGCAGGAGTCTGCCCGAGGGCCCTTAAAAGGGGAGTTGAAACAGTTCCCGAAGGACCAGGAGAACCTACACCTTGAGCCAAAGCAATTAAACCTGTTCCCTTTAAGGGAAGTTCCTCTGGCCCAAGGGGGTTTCGGGTTTGTGAATGCTCCTTTGAGCACCACTGAAGTCAGGAGCTTTAAGAGAGAAATGAAAATCTTGATGGAAGACCCAAGTGGCCTTTTAGAGCAATTAGATCAGTTTCTGGGCCCAAATATATATACTTGGAGTGAACTAATGTCTATTATGAATGTCCTATTCTCTCAGGAGGAGAGAGGGATGAGTAGAAGGGATGCTATGGTAGAATGGGAATGGAGGCACCCACCTGCAGCCAGGGTGATACTGGCGGAACAAAAATATCCAGCCCTTGACCTTAGGTGGGATCATAATAATGCGGCTCACAGAACGAATTTGAAGGATTTGAGGGAATTAATTATTGGAATCAAGAATGCCACCCCAAAACCCCAAAATATAAAGAAAGCTTTTGAAGTGGCTCAGAAAAAAGGATGAGTCACCAACAGAGTTTTTGGAAAGATTGAAAGAAAGCATGGGAAAATATTCAGCCTTAGACATGGATGATCCCTCCACAGAAGCAAAGTGGAAGTGGCATTTTATAACTAATGCCTGGCCTGATATCAGTAAAAAAATTCAAAAGATAGATAGGTGGAATCATCGAACCTTAGACAGTATACTTGAGGAGGCTACTAAAGTTTATGTGAGGAGGGATGGGGAGAAACAGAAACAAAAGACCAAGCTCATGGTCCAGACAGTCCACAATGTTACTCAGTCAGTAGAAAAGTGGGGAAAAAACCCCCAAAACCAAAGAGAGAGTAGAGGAGAGGGAGGGAGAGCCCTATTCAATTATCTCCCTTCAGATTTGCAAAAAGAAAGCTGAATAGCTTTAGATGGTTTAAGTAAGTTGAGAAGGTGTGAGGAAGTGGTCTGTTTAAAGTAGAAAGATGGAAAAATAAAATTCTTTTTTTTTGCCTAATTTAAAAATCAATGGATAAAGTTATGGAGAGATGGAAGGAATTATGTCCACCCACCTTTGAGGCTAAATCCGTGGGTGGGTTCTATTAGATCTAATATCGATACTGACTATGGTAAAGAGATTGGTTATTGTGGGAAAGCAAAAAGAAGTAGTCAGAATACTGGTCCAGTACATTTTTAAACTGACCTGATTATAATAGGTGATTCTAAACTGTTTGTAAAACTTTCACATGAAAATTAGGACATGAATGTGGATAATATCCCTTTATAAAGGGCCAAGAGTATTGAATTCAGAAATGTGTATTTGTGTAATTTTGAGAGCACCTATTGTTACTTGGCATTAAGAAATTTATTAACTATGTGGCCCCAGGAGACTATTGAATCTGATGAAGAGGTCTAGAAAGAAAGAAAGATTTTTTTATTATTGAAAGATTTTTATTATTATTATTATTATTATTATTATTATTATTATTATTATTATTATTATATTAGTTATGTTGCTGGAAGGGCAATTTCTTTTATAATCTGGAATGTTAAATTGTGCCTTCAGGGAAAAGAGAAAAAGGAATGAATCTGGCTGTTGGGGCATTCTATATGATCCTGTTTTGTAACATTTCCTTTTTAAGTACTGTAATTTAAGAAAGCATAAAATTTCCAAATTTAGTCTTCATTTAAGGGGCATTTTCAGCTAAAATTGTTTTGTTACATTTGTGAGATTGTTGACTAGGTTGTTTGGGGTTACTGTTTTGATGTTAAAACCTAGAATTGTTAATTGATTATTTGTGTGTGAAAAGAAGGGGCACAAGGCAATTACTCCTTATGTTGGAAACTTGCCAAGGTCCCTGGAAACCAACAGGGGGAGGGTTAACATAACCCCTCTCAAGATCAAATTGAGGGAACCCACTACAGTGGTGAGAGTAAAACAATATCCTGTATCTCTAGAAGAGAGGTGAGGACTCAAACCAGTGATTCAGGGGCTATTGGAAGGGGGACTTCTCGAACCCTGTATTTCTGCCTTCTATACCCCCACCTTGCCAGTCCAGAAAGGGGATGGAACATATAGAGTAGTTCAAGATTTAAGGGAAGTTAACAAGGTTATATTACCATCCCACCCAGTGGTTCCTGACCCCTACACGATTTTGGAAAGAATAAATGAAGACAGTAGGTGGTTCAGTGTAATTGATTTAAAAGATGCATTCTGGGCCTGTCCCTTAGACTCTAGTAGTAGGCATATCTTTGCATTTGAGTGGGAGGATCCTGAGACTGGAAGGAAGCAGCAGTATAGGTGGTGCGTCCTGCCCCAGTGGTATACTGAATCACCAAATTTGTTTGGACAAGTTTTGAGAGAATCCTGGAAGGGTTTAGAGCTCCCCTTGGGACACAGGTATTACAATATGTAGATGGTGACAGGTAAAAAGAGAATAGAAACCAGTGAGGCTTTGATCAAATTGATAAACTATTTGGGATCAGGTTTGAGGATTTCCAAACATAAATTACAATTTGTGAAACAAGAGGTGAAATATCTGGGACATTTAATAAGTGAGGGGCAGAAGAAGCTGGACCCAGAGAGGGTGGCAGGAATCCTTCAACCTCCCCTCCCAGAAACTAAAAGGGAACTCAGACAGTTCCTGGGGTTAGTAGGATACTGTAGAAATTGGATTGATTCATATGCATCCCTCACAAAGCCTTTGTACCAAAACTTATTGGAAGAAGAACTAGAACAAATTAGATGGGGCCCTGGAGAAGGGGGATTTAAGAAGTTAAAGGAGGTCCTCACCTCCCCTCCTGTTTTGACACTCCCCTCACTGGAAAAGCCCTTTCACTTATTAGTGAATGTGGACAGAGGGGTAGCACTGGGGGGTCTTGACCCAAATAAGGAGGGGGCAGAAGAGACCCATGGCCTTCTTATCAAAAATCTTGGATTCTGTGGCTAGAGGGTGGCCGACCTGTATTCAAGCAGTGGCGGCTACTGCTATACTAGTGGAGGAGAGTAGAAAGCTGACCTTTGGGGGAAGCTTGATAGTGAGTGTCCCCCATCAGGTATGAGCCTTACCGAAAAATTGGTCTGCCTAAATATGTGAACTATGTGCCTTAAATTGGGCATTAAAGTTATTAAAGGGGAAAGAGGGCAACATTTACACTGATTCAAAGTATGCCTGGGGAGTAGTACATATTTTTGAGAGAATCTGGGAGGAAAGGGGGCAAAGTTATCTGCCCTGGGAAGAGAACTTGTTAGGATTATGCAGTTCCTAGACAATGAATTTAGTTTGCTGAGAAGTTGCAAGTTTGTGTTCAGTAGATAGAAATGATTTTTGATGATTGGCTTTTACACCAGGGAAGGTTTAAATTTGAGAAGGAAAGATGTAAAGTGAGATCTCCTGTGTATGTGAGTCCTGGTAAATCCTTATTGCTTATTGCAACTCCATGAGAGTAAAAGTAACTGTATCTGGCTTTAAGCTGTGATTAGTGAGACTTGCTGTTTGAGGAAAAAGGCTTTCGGGACTGTAACAAATTTCGTTTTGAGTTTGAATTTGGGTGTAATTGTCTGCATTAAATCAGTATCTGAGAGAAATGCCACAAGAGCAGGTGGAGGTCTGCTTAGAGGAAATGTGATTTATTTGGGAAAAAGCCGAGGGGACAATCTTAGCCTCAATCTAGGATGGGATCCTCCTAGCTCAGTTTCCCCATTGTGTTCCTTTGGAAAGGAATGTTTCCCACCTGACTATTTCTGAGTCTGGCTATGAAATGGAACAGATACTGCATAATTGGAGAACTGCGACTCCATCTGAATTTAAACAAAGCTAAGGATGTTTTATCCTGTCATACGTGATATATCATATGTCCCTGTTCTTTTTCCTTCTATAGTAAGTTTCTATAATTAGAAGATTTAACAAATTTACTAAAATAATTGATTATGGAACATCTTAGGTTATTATAGAACTGGGGCTAGTGTTCCTGTATAAATTCGGGTGTTTTAATTCTTGGTAATGGTATGGAGATAATCAAGAGCTTGTAAGAATGTTATTTTGTTATTTGGATAATATCATACTTGTCTAAAGTTTTGTCACCATTGATCAACAATGTTAAAAGAAGAATGGCTTGTGGAAATGCCATCAAAGAAACAAGGCATGACTAAAATTTTAAGATTGTATATATATTGTGTTAAAAATTGATATGTATGTACTGGAGCCTGTGATTAATTCTATAGTAAAGTCTCATCCCGGTGGTGAGGAAATTAATAATAGATTAATGTAAAGTATAAGACACTGGGTTCTGATGTGAATTTCTTAAACATGACAGTTGGCCATGATTCCAATTTTGAGTCTGTAAAATGATTAGAAATGATGATTTTAAATTGTGCTAAGGTCCCTTTTATAGGAGAATGGACAGAAAGCTGGTTCCTACAAGAAGACAAGAAGAGGAAGATGCTGAGAAGCTGTCCTAGAGATGGCTGGAGCAAATACCAAGGACAAGAGGACTTCATTGATGGTGTTCCCTGCCAGACAGCTGTATAAGAAAAGACTTTTTGATTCTTAAAGGGACAATTACACTATTGTTTTCTTTTGGGTCTCTGTATCTGCATTTATGAAGGGACTGCTCCTTTGATTTGTCAATGTTTAGATTAATGCCTATATTTACTTAAAGGGGTGATGATTAGAGAGAGAAGAAAAAGAGCAAAGAAAAATTTGAATTATTTAATGTGATTGTGAAACGTACCAAGAGTGCCAATAAAGATATCATAAGAATGATGATTTCTATATGTGATGATATGAAGATGCAATTGATGTTATATGAAGTTTATAGTTTATATTACAAAAGTTATTACTGTTTCTAAATTGTATTGTGTTTCTAAAATTTTTAGATTGTAAAATTTGAGAGGAATTGTTGTCCTACTCCTGGTATGTCCCCCCACAATGCAACTAATTTGACCTAAATTCTTCTTCCTCCTGGGACAACGAGGCAAACATCTGGGAGTACAAGTATATGATGATTTAAAAGGAACAAACGAGCCATTGATACCTCTATTGCTAGCATGGGAAATGCAAATGGATGGGGAGATACTTGGCCCCCTGAAAGGATCATAAAGGAATATGGACCTGCTACTTGGGCACAAGATGGGAGCTGGGGATATCAGACCCCGACATATATGCTTACATGGGACAAACCATTAGAGATATTAATGAGGAAATTCGAAAGATTGCCCATGTTCCAGTACAGACCTGGTCCTCTCCATTTAATATTCCCTGGTGGTCCTGGTTTGGGGGATCTTGATGGAAGCAGGTATTATGGTTTGTGTTAATAGCAATAAGTGGAGTCATGCAACTCCCACTGTGTGTCCCTTGCATGGTGCAATTAATTATTACTACTGTACAAAAGACCCTCTCTAGAATGATTACATCAAACAAACCTGTCAGTGAGTCTATTAGACTAATGATGTTAAGGAATCAAGGGTGGATGACGGTCAATCAGGAAGAATGAGGGCCCGATTTTGATGAAATAGCAAATAGGGAAGCTGAAGAAACTTACCAGTTTTGGTGTGAGAGACTTTCAATTATGAAGTGAGAGGGGGGAACTGTATGGGACAAATGAAAGTTTCTCATGTAAGATGTAAGCTATGCTCCATAAATGTAGTAAGGCTTCAGCATGAGCTGGGCCTAAGTTTCACTTTCATTTCTGGGGAAGGGGGTTGTGCACCAGCTGCCCACCCTGCTCCCTTGTTTTGTAACCACCCCCTCTGGTTTTTTGTGCCTTAACTTTACCAAATAAGGCAATCCTCTACTCCCAAGCTAGTTTTGAGTAAAATGTATCTCTTGGGTTCTGCCCTGGGTAGGAGATGCCCAACTCTCTCATGAGACTTGCTGGCAGAAAACCTTCTGTTTTCTACCTGGAGATACCTCTGAGTTTTTATTTGGGTAAGTGGTCTTAAAATTCCACTCAGTGTCTTTCTTGGGCCCCTTAATAAGTGCCTGACTTCTGGTATTATCACCACTTTCCCTGTATATATCTTGAATGTACATAATTGTTTACTTGTCTTCCCCATTAAAATGTGAAATGAAGTGGAGGCACTATGTTTGCCTTTTTGTATCTCCAGAGCTTAGCACAATGCCTGGTACATAATAAATGCATATTGACTTGTCTTCTTGACTCGATCACCTACCCATGTTCCTCAAGCTTACTAGTGGTAGGAGCAATATTTTAACCTGTCCCTTATGCAGGTGAAGTTGGTTTTTCCTTAAAAGATATTGAAACATTTCTCAAGACTTGATTGGCTTACAGGAATAAGATCAGCCTGTTGACTTCATCTTCGTCACTTGTGTACAAAGCAGCTATAAAAGGCAAGTTTGGCTGGTATGTAAAGATAGTTAATATAGGAAAGGGAGCTTTATTTAACTGAATCAACTTGAGGTGTCTATCCTCAAGACCCATCCTTGTTAAATGTCATTCTCCTGCTACGACAAAGTAAATCTTTTTTTTTTTTTAACTGCTGAATGACTTACAAGTCATTTTGGTCCATAGTTAAACCGAAACTACTGACAGACTGATGGTATAACTCAAGCCTCATCCAGAGCAACCTGTGAGGCTCTGTCTTCTCTTTATAATTCTTTCTGACCAAAATCTGTGCTAAGTAATGCAAAGCGGTAAGTTGCAAAGTTCGCACACAGACTTCTGAAAAATGTAATCCAAAGAGAACATCAAGTATGCAAAAGGTCATTTCCCACTCCTCTCCAACAAAGGTGATGATAATAATAATTTATTATAATACATTATTACATGATAATATTATAAACATATTTATATAATGTAAAATTATATGATCTATAGATGCCGCATTGTAGATACCATGAAAAAGAAACATTTGAAATTGCAGTGAATGTCTTACTGTTGTAACTTCCCTAGTGCTGGAAAAAACACTATACCTTCCTTTGTGGTGACCTTAAACAGTGTTAGACAATTATAGTATTGTACAATGACATCATATGTGAAAGTAGGCATTATGGCAAGAGGGCAATGTTTGTTCCAGAATTGAAATCATGCTTCTTCTATTTATTATTGATATTACCTTGGGCAAATCACTTTTGTTCTCAGTGTTTTGGTCTCCATCTCTGTAAAGTAAAGAACTGGAGTAGATGTTTTCTAAGGTTCCTTCCAGCTATAAATTCTATGATTCTAATAAGGCACCAGAGCTCTGAGAATGTGGGAATACTGCATTCCTAATCTCTATTCATTTTGTTTTGCATCATTCAGGTACTGGGAAATAGGGAGAAATGGCAATGTTTAGGGGGTCAGTATTTTTTTCACTTTTAGAAATTTTTATAATTAGTTATTTGCCCTCACTACAAACCCTCAACAAAAGAAGGACTAGAAATGTGTTTTTGGAAAAAACAGTAGTATCCCCTAAGTTTAACCAACAAAAAGGACTTAAACAAATCATGCAAACATTACGAAGCTTGTAAATCCTGTTTTCATGTATCTTGTTTAACAGTGTATGAGAATTTCCACCAGCCTATTTCTACTGTCCTTATTTATCTTGAAGTAAGAGGATTGTATGGGGATGCAAATGTGTGATTGTATTTAATTGATTCATAAAATGTTGTAAGGAAAATATCAGAAGAGTGATTAGATAGGATCCTTAGTCCAAAGCTTCTGAAACTTCCCTCATGGCTGATTTATCTTCAGCTTACTGCTGTATGTGGTTATTTGAAGTATCTCACATGTTCATCTAGGCTGCCTACCTTTGTTAGAGTATGATGCTAATTGAGGTGAAGGTGGGGATTTACATTTTTTTATTAGCAGAACATAGCTCTATTTTGGTAACAGCCACAGACTGCCCTGATGCTCTCAACAGTCTATTTTCCATTCATTATTCATTCCTTCAACCAATAACTTTCAGTGTCTACTCTGTGTAAATCATTGTGGTAGGTACTATAGAGGGAGACAGAGCTGAATAAGGCACAGTTCCTATGTTCAGGGAGCTTATTTGTGGTCTATGAGGTAAAGGAAGACAAACACAATCAAGGTAGGATAAGAAAGTTTAATGAGCTATTACACCAATACAGGGTCAGAAAGGGAGTAATATTGGCTCAGTGGAACTCATCAATTTGGAAAACCCAAATAGAAGCACATTGAAGATAGTGGCAAAAATATATCTTCTGTATGCATGAATGACAGCAGCTTCTTTTAGGGCTGGGTTTTCCCAATCCGGTTATTATTAATCACATTCCCCTATTTCAAGGAATAATGTCCCTGGGGCACACCTCATATATCTGTACTGGGGGCTTTCCATATCCTTTGCCTCCCTTAGGAACTGTACATACAACAATTCACTGACAATTTGGGTGTCTTCTCCACTAGCTGCTCCATTCAAGCCACTCATACATTTTGTTCCATGGTCACCATATAGTTCTAGGAATTGAGTTTTCTAGCTATTGCCTTCCAGTTCCTCAAGGTGTTCATATGGAAATCAGATGCTGGGAAACTATACTTGGATCCTACTTATCCTGAATGAAGTGCATTTTCTTTGAGGGACTGGTTCTTTACAACTTTTTCACAGCTGTCCTTGCTTGTTTCTGCTCCTTTCCACTATCAAGATTGTCCATATCCAAAAGGGCCACTCTCTTACAGACATATTATCTCATTTCATTTGCCCAGCAACTTAGTGAAATAGAAAATATTTGCTACTGTGCTTTGTTAGATTTGTGACATCATTAATGCAGGTGCTCCCTTGACTAATACAGATTGCAGCTCACCCTTTGTCTTGCTGCACAATGCTATCCATATCCTCTCATAAAGCCTCCATACAAGGTTTACCATATTTTCATACATTGAAGAACTTTTCTAGGCCTTTTAGCATTCTCTCATTACCAATGCACCACAAAATTCTTTGGAGATAGTGATTTCTGTTTTACAGCCATATAACATTTGATTACACTAGAATGGCCTCTAGTTTATCACCATTACAGGTAATGTTTGCTCTTCTTTTAGATAGACACTACTTATATTAAGGAAAGATCTCTTTATTCTCATGCTTTCTAATGTTTTTGTTTCCTCTCCCACCCAGCAGTTCACAGCATTCTCGCTCATCACTTGAAAGCCACCAGTGAAGAGAAAATCATAGAATTGTGAGGGTCTGAGGGTGGAGGGAAGATACCTATTCTTTTCCATTTCAGTTCTAGCTTAGTACTTACTGAATCATCAGTCCTTCCATCTCCTTAGCTAACCACAAGCCTCATTGTTTCTCCACAACACAAACCTCCACATGTTGGATTGAAACCAGGAAGAAAATACCTGGCATGTTCTATATAACGCACCAGGAAGATCAAATCATGTTCTAAGGACAGGTTCCTTATTGTCTACTTCCCCTATTACACTTGGAAGGATTTCCTTTTTTTTTTTTAAATGAATTTTTATTGATGTCTTTTGTTTGAAACAGCATAGTAATTTCCTTCCTTATCTCTCCCACTCCCCATCTCAGAAAGCCATCCTACATAACACATTTTATTTTTTAAAGGGGCAGCTAGGTGGCACAGTGGATGCAGCGCCAGACCTGGAATGAAGGAGACCTGAGTTCAAATCCAATCTCAGACACTTACTAGCTGTGTGACCCTGGGCAAGACCATGGCAAGCCACTCCAATAGTTTTGCTAAGAAAACCCCAAATGTGGTCACAGAGTTGGACATGGCTAAAACGACTGAACAACAATGTGTGGGACAAGTGAAAGTTTCTCATGTAAGATGTAAGCTATGCTCCATAAATGTAGTAAGGCTTCAGCATGAGCTGGGCCTAAGTTTCATTTTCATTTCTGGGGAAGGGGGTTGTGCACCAGCTGCCCACCCTGCTCCCTTGTTTTGTAACCACCCCCTCTGTTGTTTTGTGCCTTAACTTTACCAAAGAAGGCAATCCTCTAGCTCCCAAGCTAGTTCTGAGTGAAATGTATCTCTTGGGTTCTGAATATAGACTTGTGAGGTCTCTTGCCTCAGCCAATGAGGATAAAGAGATTGAGACAAACAGGTGGGGAGGGGGGCTTTTTGGAGTGGTTTGTTTAAGACTATATATACTGCTTACTGTTGTGTGTGCTGGGCCTCACTACTCCAGTCTGCCCTGGGTAGGAAACGCCAAACTCTTCTCACGAGACTTGCTAGAATAAAACCTTCTGTTTTCTACTTGGAGATGCCTCTGAGTTTTGATTTGAGTAAGTGGTCTGTATTCCACTCAAGAAGAAGTCTGGATTTGTAGTAAATGCAGAAGACATGGCTGTGTGGCTTTCCCCAGTGGTAATGAGCAACATGAGAGCAAAAATGAAGGTTGAAGTACCCTGAAGGTAACCCAAAGTTGAGAAGTGACAGGCAATAAATGATAGTAGGACAAAGGGTACAATGGATTCAAAGGTGAAGGAGAGTGCATTACAACAAAGATAACTATATTTCAATAGGTAGAAAACAGGTAAAGAATGTTTTTACTTTAAGGATAAAATTAAGGAATTTCAATTGTAAAAAAAATCACTAAAATAGTTGCATAGCAATTAAAAAGATTACTGAATAAACGTTAGCAATACATATATAACTCATGTATTTATTTATCAATAAATGTGATAAAAATAGTAGATATGATAAGCTATTCACAATAAAGTGCATATACCATGGCCAATGCAATATAAGATTCGGTTTCATGTTTAGCTTCTAGCCAGGTGTCCCAAACAACATCCCAGATCCATCTGCTAGAAATCTGTGAAATGAAAAGACCAAATACCAATTTCAGATTTTACATTTTCAATTCAATAAACATTTACTAAGGTGCTTTGGGGGAAGGAGAATACATACAGGTTAAATCACAGATCTTATAAAATGCCTAAGTATGTTTTAAATATTATTTTTGGGTAAAATTTGTGATGGTAAAGTTATACTCTTTGTATACTCCATGTGCATATAATCCCCAATATAATCAATCTATGCAATTCTTTTATTTTATGAAATTTGGAGCATCATTTCACTACCATTTACTATGATTTGCAGAGGGTCATATTTGTTCTTTCTTTGCTTTTGAACATATTGCCAATCAAATTTATGATTTCTTGAATATTTGGCGTAATGACTAACCCTGAGCTTCCAGCCCCTACAGTCCTCCAATAAATTCAGTAATAAGTAATAAGCACCTCATCTGCACTGGGTATTGTGTTAGGCGCTAAGGAAACACAAAGACAAAAATAAAAAATAAAAATCAGTCCCTGTCTTCAAGGAACTTTTTACATAGAGAACATGGACACAGAACATTAAGTACAATACAAATACAGGGTAATTTTCTCGTAGTTAAAATCAGTTCTTACAGATAGGATTAGCCTTCACTAGCACCTGAAGGGCTCTGATTACCATGGCCTGGAGGCAGGGGAAAAATAAGCATTCATGCATATAGCAGCATCTGGTCAGTCTTATACTGATTATGTTCTGACCTTTTAATCTGCTTCTGGTCTAGTGATAAAGAACTTCTTCGATGGTTTCACAGAAGCTGGGGGCATTCGGCCTTTTCTCTTGTGAACCCAGAATGTGGTTTGTACCAGATCTAGTCCTGGGAAGAGCCTGGCCTCTAATGAGAAGGGGCTTTCTGTTTTCACTTATTGGCTTACGTCTTCCACCTCAGGAACCAGAGAATGATTTTACTTCTGGCTCATATCTAGGGCTTCCCCTGAAAAGGATGGGATGGGATAGGGAGTGTGTAAAAATATATTCAATGCACAATAAATATGAATCAAGTAAGAGAAAAGTAATTCATTCCTGCAGACACAAGAATGGCTAAACATTTTTTAAAAATCCCAACAATTCTGCAGAAACACTAACAAAAACAGGCTCAAATAATTTATAACTCATGGTTCAATCTGTTTGAAGGACAATACAAACTTCATCAGAACAAAAAACAATTTTTCTGTATTAATGCAAATGTTCTGTAATATCTATCTTGGCTCTCCCCACCCACTCTTTTCAATTTCCATTAAGACATGAGCTCCTTGAGAGCAAGATTATCTTTCTACTTGAATTTGTATTCCCATCATTTCCTGCCATGTCAGACCCGTAGTAAGCACTGAACAAATGCTTCCTGTAATTGATATCCCCTTTGCCTAGAATGTACTTTTCTTCTCATGCTTGCTAGTTTTCACTGAATTATCTTTTTATACATAAAGCCTTTCCAGATCGTCCCAGTTATTGATATTGCCTCTCCTCATTTAATTACCTCTTTTCTGTATATGTATATATGCATATAAAATTATGTTTGTCTCTCCTGATAGAATGTAAGCTCATGGAGGGCAGGAGTTTAACTTTGTCCTTGTATTCCCAGTGCCCAGCACATAGTCAGTACTAAATAATTGCCTGGTTCCTGAATCTAAGTCTCTATCCATTAGACCATACTTCCTGAAACATACATTTGTCCATGAGTAACTTATCATTATGTACTGCCTAGTGTTACATTATCCGTGTAAATATAGGTACATAGGTACATACACTTATACGTATGTATACATATGTATTTATAATATGTATATATATACATATACACATATAACATCTCTCCAATTAAAATTCAAATTTTATGAGAACAGAATGTTTCTTTGGTTCTTCCTTGGTGCCTTGCACACTAAGTTGCATACAATAAGTGCTCAATAAAAAATGTGTTAAATATTAAACAATATAGAAAACATGACATCTGGCATTATCATGAACCTTATTTAACAATGGGATGCCTGAGTTAACTAAATGGGTTACTGATTTTCAAGAAATGCATTAAATATACTTAAAATCATTAAATAAATCATTGATATGATGGTAAGTATGTAGCAATTGGCTCTCTAGGAAAAAATGTATGTGCAATACATTCTTGAGTTTAATCTGCATTATTAACATTTTCTCCATCACTTTATGTCTCAAAATCAACAAAACAACAAATTATGCTCTGATTTGTAGTGTTTGTTTATTTCCAAGGTGTAAATGCTCACAATGAAAATTTAACAATCAGCTTTTGTAAGTCAGTACAAGTTGGATCTCGCATACCCCTAAATACAATTATACTGAACATAATTTAATCTTCATTTGATGATTCAGAATTATGTAATATCTGATTAGTGTCATTAAAATAACCTAACCATGATTTAATCAGCATGGGGAATTTTAGTGTGGAAACTCATTTTACTGAAGCAGATTAGCAACTCATCTGTTACTTTTCGAATTAGAGAACTGCCTGAGACACTAGGGGATTAAAGGGATTTGATTCAGATCACATAGTATGTTTCAGAGGCAGGACCTAGAACTTTGGTATTCCTGACTCTCAGACCAGGTCTCTATCTATTATGCCACGTGGCCTTTCAATGATCATCATTACAAATAGAAATTAACGTGTTATAGATGTATAAACTAGGCAGGTAGGTGTTACAGTACATAGAGCACCAAGATAAGAGTCGTCAAGATATTTACTAGCTCTGTGACCCTGGGCATGTCACTTAACCCTGTTCGCCTCAGTTTCCTCATCTGTAAAATAAGCTGGAGAAGGAAATGGCAAACCACTCTAGTATCTCTGCCAAGAAAACCCCAGACAGGGTCATGAAGAGTTATACATGGCTGAAGCGACTGAACAAGATGTATAAAAGTGTCAGTAGACAAAATTTTTCCATACTTACATTTATTGACTGACCAGTTTTTTGAATAAGTATGATTTTTACAATGTATTTATATCGAGGGAAAGTAAATTCTTTGACAGCTCCTAATACACGATCTGCCAGTTCAAGTGACAAGAAAGAAAATGTTTCTTCACTGTACTTGACATTCTTAAGTTTGTCCTATTAAAAGAATTTTTAAAAAGTAATCCTTAATTTCAGTCTAAAAATTTTCAGCATAAAAATTATAATTTGACAAATTAAAACCAAAAAAATGGAAACATATCTATCTGCTCTCCTTTAAAAGTCCTCCTCTAATGGCATAGAGATGACCCTGGCTACTTGGAGGCTATATACTATGAGAACTAAGGCAGTTTCTACCAAATTTGAAAAGGTTTCAAATGACATATGACATATTAAGTTTACTGTCCCAAGAACCGGCTTATACATAGACATGCTCATCATCAGGTTAGCCATTAGGTAATTAATTTTTTTGCCCTTGGTGATACATAATAAAGGAAAAAAACCCAAAACCCCACAAAATGTTCCTCAATCTTGTTTATGTATTTCTTTCACTTCATCATTAATAGTGGCCTGGTTGCATAAAAGAGATGAGAGAGTGTTAAAAACTATACAACTTTTAGACTGTCTGCAAAATTAATTTAACTGCTGGCACTCCAAACATGAGAACTTTGTCCAATGGCAAATAAGCTGAACTGAGCGACATCCACATTAACTTGTTCAGAATAGTGAAGTGTTATCATTTCACCTTGCCTGGTACTGTTCATAATGAAGATAAGCAAAAAACCCACCAGGAAGACAATTACATCTTAAGTATCAACATAATTACAGAATTTGAAGGAATAGAGAAACTACAAAGAATTTGACAAGATCTTCAATCAAGTCAACTAATACCTAAATATTTGATAACTTTAATGAAAAAATAGGTATGAGGAGAAAGTAAAAAAAAATATGTTGGTGTACAGGGGAGTGGCCCTTAGCCAGCATTAAACTGTTAGTGCATAGTGAGTGTAAAGGAAGACTGGACAATGAGCTAAGTCCTTAGAAGCACTCAAGAGTGCCTTTCATGCAATTCCCTATGTGGAAAAGGATGGAGAACCTACTTTTAGAGAATCTTAACATGTAGTAGTTGTGGATAGCCTTTAGAGCATGAATGGCTAGGATTCTCTACCTGGTTCTGGTCTGCTAATCGCATTGTGAATAGGAGCCCCTTAATTGTCTGCAAGTGCACAGCCAGAACTAGGGGTGCTAATCTAGCTCGTCCTTTTCTAGATTTCACTTCTTCCAGTCTGTCAGAATTCTAGTGAGAAACAATTCTATAAAAGGAGAGAGGCCCTGGGCTTTCCCCACCAAGACTCACATGTGACATGCAAATACTAGTTCTTGCCTCAGTGTCTATTCTTTCATTTTAGGTGAAGGAGGTTGGAGATGACTGTGATAATTTATGAATTTTGCCATCAAGTCCGTGATAGATTTTGCAGTCAGCTGGTTTAGCACTGATGATACCCTGAGAAGCAAGGAGCAATGCTCAGGACCCAGCCCAGTGACAGCTGAGACAAGGGCTCATCCAGTTGATATGCCACCTTTATACTTGAACTTGATAGGACCAATGCTTTGCAGACACTGCGTAAGTTTGCGCCCACTTTCTCCCAGAGTCTAAGGTGGTAAAGGGGAGAGTGTGCCCCAGAAGTATATACATGGGGGGATGTTTGGGCTTTTGTCTTTGATATGTCTTCATAGCCATATGTAAAAGTAATTGATGCTAACTGGTTAAATGGAATTGAAAGTACTGGGCACTAGTAGATAACTGTGAGGATAACATTTTTGGAATGAAGGCTTGAGCTGATAGAATTAGAGAAGAGGAATCTCAATATCGGTGGTATTTTAGAACTCTGAAGGAGCAGTAGCTAGCCTTTCTCTTGGAAAGTGAGAACAAAGAATAAAACTCACCACAATGGAAACTATATTCAAGGATTAAGAAATAAGTTGCAAAATATTTTGATTATTCAGAAGCCTCCCATTTGTGTTTGCTTAGAGATTAGGGCTAAGAGGCACTGACTATGGCAAACACAATCACCTCAAAAAATAAAATTAACTTTACCTTTAAAAAACAGAACACGAATGGTTACCAATATTAGAAGGGTCATACAGCTAAGTGTCTGAAGCTGTATTTGCACTCTTATTCCTGACTCTAGACCCAGTACTCTATCCACTGTTACATCTGTATTAAAAGTAATTTCATTGTTTTATTTTTAGGCTTTGCCCAATGAACTTTATTGTGCTTATCTTTATATGGGGCTCAATCCAAAGATAAAATCTATTCCTGAATCAGGCATACACATCAAAGCTCTTAATCAAAACATGTTTTTTAGTTGGTGTTATTTTTTAAAATTCCATTATATTTTTAGTTCTGAATTCTTGTTCTCCCATTTCCTCGCCCCTACTCATTGAGAAAGCAAGAAAAACAAAACCCATTACAAATGTGTATAGTCCAGCAAAATCATTCTCTATTAGACAGCAATATTTTATTTTCGAAGTACCAAGTTTCAAAGTTGTATTGCTTGTCTGTTTTTTTTTTAATTCCTTCAGTTCTCTTCTGTGCATTTTGAAAAAAATAATCAAGTGATTCTCTTTTTTTCTACTCCCCCCCTTTTTTTTGGTCAATACTATAGCTAGTTCCTCTCCCCCAAAAATAAAAAAATAAAACCCCCAACATAATCTTAGTAACAGATAAGCATAATAAAGCAAAATAAACACACACACTTGATATGTTAAAAATAAATGTCTAATTCTCTACCTTGAGAAGAACTTCTCTCTCAGGAGGTGGGTAGCAAATTTCCTAATCAGTCACATGGAATTGTTGTTGGTAATGGCCAATATTCATAAAAGTTCTTAAGTCTTTAAAAATTTGCTTTTCTTAACAAATAAGTAAATTGTTGAATTGTGTAAATTGTTTTCTTGGTTCTATGTAAACTGTTCTGATTCTTTCACTGCACTTTGGATTAATTCATAGAAGTCCTCGCAAGTTTTGCTGAAACCATTCGGGTCCTCATTTTTTGCAGCACAATAATATTTTACTATTTTTACTATACCTTAATTTGTTCAGGCCTGGTTTATCCCTCAGGCTAAGGTTGCCAATTCCTATTTTGAACTTAATACCTCTCCCCCCTAAATCTCCTCCTCTAATTAAAAAAGGAGGAAAAACATGTAACATATAAGCATAGTTAAGCATAATAAATCTTCAGTGTCCATGTCAGAAAATGTCTTTAGTTCTTTCTCTGTGAGGAAGTAGGTAAATTTCTTATCACAGAACCTGTGGAGTTGTGGCTGGTCATCGTGTTGCTAAGAGTTCTTTAAGCTTTCAATATTGTTTTTCTTTACTATGTGTTACCATTTCCTGGTTCTGCTCACTTCACTCTAAATTAAATGAGTCTTCCCACGATTCTCTGAAACAATCTTTTTCATTATTTCTTGTGGTGCAATAATAATCCATTCTAGTCACATGCTATAGTTTGTTTAGCCATTTCCCAATTGGTATGCATCCCCTTTACGTCTCGTTCTTTGTTACAAAAATGTTTTTGTACATATGGGCAATTTCCCTTTTCATTTTTACTATTTTTGGTATAACCTTAGCAGTGGCATTTCTGGGTCAAAGAGCATTCAAAGTTTAGTGACTCTTTGTGTATAGTAGTGGCAGGATCAATCCAAGGATCCACCAATGTGCATTATTGTGCCTGTCCTCCAAATAGCTCTCAATATAACTGTCATTTTCTTTCTAGTAATTTTTGCCAAACTGATGGACATGAGGTAGAACCTCAGTTGTTTTAATTTGCATAATTATCATTAGCGATTTGGGGTGTTTTTGTATATGGTTTTTGATAGCTTGAATTTCATCCTATTAGAATATCCTGATCATATCCTCATTAGAAACATCTCTAGTTTATCTTAATATATGTATAGTGACAACTTTTGGTGTCAGACATAGTTTATTGATTATGGAAACATGCTTATTCCTATGCTTTATAGTACTTAAAAAAAGGTTTTCTTAATGTCTTTTTTACATAGATCACCATAGTTTTTCCCCCAATATCCCTCCACCCCCATACAGAGCCATGTCATAAAACAAATATTTTTTTAAAGACAAAAAGAGGTCAGTACATTGAAAAATTATGAAAATATGTATGTAAATTTACACTTGTGACTTCCACCTCCGCAAACGGGTGTGTTCTCAAAGCTCTTCTCTTAACTATTGTTTTTTTTTTTTATCATTTTCAACATTTACTTTTAATTATTTTGTGTGTGACTGTTCTTTCCATTTATTTGTAGTTATTAAATAGACCATTTTCTTGGCTTTTCTTATTCCACTTTGTATAAGGTCATGTAGGTCTTTCTAATATTCATTTGTGCTAAAAACCCTACAAACTATAGGTATAGAGGGGCCTTTTTTTAGTAAAGTAGGTCCAACCATGTCACCCCCCCTACTCAAATTCCAGTGACTCCCTATTTTATCCAGAATCAAATAAAAAGGCTGTTTGGCATTCAAAGCCTTTCATAAACTAGCCCTCTCCTTCCTTTTCAGTCTTTTGTTATCTGATTCCCTGACATGTATCTTTTGAACCAGTGACAATGGCTTCTGTGACTGTTTCATGAACAAGCCATCCTCTCAGGCTGTCCCCCATGCCTTCAGTGTTTTCCCTCCTCCACTCCGATTGCTGGTCCTCCTGAGTTTCTTTAAGTCCTAATTAAAATTTCATTTTCCACTGGAAGCCTTTTCCACTCCCTCTTCATTTTAGTGCCTTCCCTCTTGTAACTATTTCCTATTTATCCTGGGGATAGCTTGTTTGCACATATTTGTGTGCTTGCTGTCTCCTCTATTAGTCTGTGAGTTCCTTGAGGGCAGGGGCTGTCTTTTTTTTTGTATGGCTAGTGCTTAGTGCAGTGCCTGGCACATAGTAGGTACTTGATAAATGTTTACTGACTAATACCAAAGGCAAGTATCACATGCAATGGGGATACAACAGAACCTTTTCTGGTCAATATGGGAGGAAAGCAAGGATACCTACTCTCCTCACTATTATGTGATATAATTCTGGAAATGCAAATAATGTCAATAAGAGAAAGAAATTAAATATGTAAGGACAGGTAGAGAGTTGATAAAAGTATCCCTATTTGCTGATGATATGATCATTTACTTGGAAAATCCCAGGGAACTGGCAGAAGATATTAATCAAGGCAGTAGCTTCAGCAAAGTTGCAGGATACAAAACAAATCTTCATTTCTAAATAACAAAATCCAAGAGGCAATAACAGAGAGTGAAATTCCACTCCAAATAACTACAAAGTACACAAAGCAAACAAAAGACTTTTATAGATTCAATGACAAACTATTCCTTAAAGGAATAAAAAAATTTCAATACTACCAAAGTTAATTTACAATTTTAATGCTATACCAATCAGATTATCAAAGAGACATTTTATAGAACTTCATAAAATAACAACAAAATTCATTTGGAAAAGCAAAAGATTTGCAATGTAACAAGGAAAATGATCAAAAGAGGTAGGGAATGAAGGTAGAATGGCACTTCCAAACCTTAAATTTACTACAAAGCAGCAGTTATCAAAATAATTTAGTATTACTTTAAGAACAGAGAGCTAGATTAATGGAACAGAGGAGACAAAGCAGAATCAGAAACAATGGAATTCAACAGCCCAGTATTCAATTCAAAGTAGACAATACAAATTACTTAGAAAAGAACTCCATATCTGATAAAAACTGCTGGGAAAATAGGAATGGCAAAAATTAGGCTTTCAGCCCTCAACTCAAATTATATTTCACAGTATATCCTAAGTGGATATGCAATCTTAACATTAAAGATCATAGTATGAAAAATTAGGAGAGAAGCTGATTATATATCTCTCATGCCTAGGGGTAGGAAATGTGTTCTTCTAGCTCTATTAAGTAATTTTATGGTAGTTTATTGGTGTAAACACTGAATAAGTAAATTAATTTAGTTAGAGTTGTCATTTTTATCATATTGGTTTGGCCTACCCATGAGCAATTAATATTTTTTCAGTTGTTTAGATCTGACTTGATTTGTGTGAAAAATATTTTTTTAATGAGTTCATACAGTTTAGGAGATATGCTCTTAACCATTCAAGGGAGAGAGGTAATTACAAAAGATAAAATAGATAAATTTGATTACATGAAACTGAAAAGCCTCTGCACAGACACAATTAATCCATCTAAGATAGGAAAGGAAACAGTTAAATGGGAAAAAAAATTCTTTTATCAAGTTCCTTCGACAAGGGTTTGGTATTAAAGACCAATAAATGATTAATATGCATATATGTTTTACACACACACACTCTGAAGGACCCACCCCTAAAAGCCATTTCCCAATAGTTAACTTGTCAAAGGATATAAACATTTCTCAAAAGAACTGCAAACTATTAACATTAAAGAATGTTCCAAATTACTAAAAATGAGAGAAAAACAAGTCAAAATAACTCAGAGGTTTCATCACATTTTTGGTGGAGGCTTGCATTTGTATACTCATTTTAGAAAGCAATTTGGAATTATTCAAATAAAAGGACTAAAATGTCCATACACTCTGACCCAGAGATTTAATTACTGGGCTTATATTCCAAGGAGGCCTTTGATAAAGTTCCTATGTACACTGAAATATCTATAGCAGCATTTTTTGTGATAGCAATGAATTGGAAACAAAATAGATGTCTATTGATTTGGAAATGGCTAAAGTAATTGTGGTATTTGAATGTAATAGAATTATGATGATGATAATAACAATAATGATAATAATGGTTAACATTTATATAGTTCCTGCTATGTTTCAGATAGCAGGGGCTTCCAATTCTGACTCAAATATTAATAGCTATGTCATCCTAGGCAAGTCATTTGACTTTCTAAGCCTCAGCTTCCTTATCTTAAAGTAAGGCCTTATAGGTAGTTTTTATAAGACCCTAATGAGACAATGTATGTAAAGTGCTCTATAAATGTTAAAGCGCTATATAAATACAAACTGTTGTTATTATTCAGTATAATTTTGAATAATTTTTCCTGCATTTCTTTTTATTTGTACTTTTCATTTCTTATGACAATATTCCACTGGATTCATAAACCACAATTTGTTTAACCATTCTCCAATTATTGGGACACAGAGATTGTTAGGAGTTATCATTCTATAATGTATTATTTAAGGCATGGTTTGTGAACATTCAGAAAGAGAAACAGTGAACACTACGAATCAGCCCAGCTTTATAAAAAAACAGGTCCCATCAGACTAACTTCACATCTTTTTTGACAGTGCTACTAGACTGTCATGACTGACTTGATCAGGGAAATGCAATAGACACAGAATACATGGAATCTGACAAATTCTCTCAAAGCTAACCTTGTAGGCAAGATGGAGAGAACTGGGCTAGATGATAGTATCACTAAGAGGATCCAGAAGTGGATGAACGATCAGACCCTAAGAATAATTATTAATATCTCAATGTCACTTTTAAGAGAAGTTTCCAGTGGAGGGCCCTAAGGGAACTTGTCCTTGGTCCTTTTTTTTAATCTATGACTTGGATGAAACCACAGTTGGTATGTTTATAAAATTTTATGATGACATAATGTTAGAAGATATAACTAATACACTGGATGACAGAATTGGGTTCCCCAAATATTTTGAATGGCTGGATGCCCCCCTCAATAGTATGAAATTTAATGAAAATAAATCTCTTACACTTAGGTTAATAAATTCAATTAGGCAAGTTTAACCCTGAAAAGTAGGGTTAAACAACAGTTTATGTGAAAAAAGACCAGGGGATTTTGGTGGACTACAAATATAACATGAGTAGACAGTAACATGGCAGCCAAAAAAGCTACGTAGTCTTAGGCTGCAACAACGGAAGTATAGCATCCAAAAAAAAAGGGAGTTATAGTCCCACCCTGGTCAGACCCTTTTTGTCATATCATATTCAGTTCCAGGTGCTACATATATTGAAGGCCAATATCAAAGCTGGAATGCATCCATAGAAGGGTGACCATGTCAGTAAAGTGATTCCAAGCCATGCCAAGTGAAGATTAATTGAAAAAACCAGAAATGTTATTCTGCATAATATTATTGGGTTGAGGGATGTGGGAGGGAGGGATTTATAGGAGTCTTCAAATATCTAAAATTATGCTATACAGGATAAAAGTCAGACTTGTTCTGCTTGACCACAGATGGCAACTTCTACTAATTAAAGAGGAAAAGGCAGTTTCCAAATGATTATAGCTGTCCAAAAGTGAAATGAGCTGTACTGGGAGGTTACAGAGGTCTTTAAGTAGAGTTTGGATGAACATTTTAGGGATGTTGTAAAAGGTATTCCAATTCACATTCCTGTTGGTTTATATGACCTCTGAGGCTCCTCCTATTTCTGTGATTCTGTATCCCTAAGATACACTATTGTGGAGTAAGAAAAGACATTGATCCTTTAAGACAAGAGCCTGGATTCAAGTCCAAGCTCTACTGTTGCTGGCTTTGGCAAATCACCTGATTTCTCATAGCTTCACTTTCTTTACCTGTGTAACAGTAATAAAAGAACTGCCTTCCTCACCATTGTGAAGATCTAATGAAATAATTGATGAATTACTTTATAAAAAGAATAAGAAGGTCTCCAATAGGTGGGTTGATCTTCTACATTAGGTTTAGGAGAAAACATGGGAGAAAAATCAAACAGGATGATAAGAAATTGAGGAATTATACACAGCAATGAAATAATGGATGAATCAATCAATATATCAGAGTAGACGGTTGCATTCACATACATACTCTCCCTCATATACTCAGCATGCTTCTTGCTCACTCTTGCGTATTTCTCAGTTTTAGACCTATCTTGGCAACATAGAGGTAATAATTAACTCATGGTTAAAAGGGTCAATTGTAACAAAAATACAATCTACTGTACTTGTCATAGCAGTGACAGTAACATTCAGTAATACACTTTAAGCTTCTTAGAGATAATTAGTACATAAAAAACCCATTTTATTATAGAAATCTATCTTATCATCAAACATTTTAGAAAAAATATATTGCTCTAACCGTTAGTATCTGTTGAACTTTCCTTTGTACTGACTGAGCTTCGAATTTCCTGTATGGCTCCATTCTATATGTGTTAGCATATTTTACTTTTCCCATGGTCTTCCATTGATCTTTACCTATATCAGCAATTGATTCATCAAATGGAGGTTCAACATACAGAACATCATGTACAGATTGTCTGAGTCTTTCCCGTAAGATTTGTGCATACTAAAGAAAAAAAAAATATATATTTTAGTATGGCTTAGGGTTCGTTCCTTGAGTTTCTGCTTTTAAATACTTTTTTGCAGTGGAAGTACCCTGACTGACAGTTGGGGGAAGGGGTGGACTAATACCCACCTATGGGCTTATTTTAATACTAGGTTAAAAAATAATGAATTGTTTTATTCCTTCATTAACAAATATTTGAGTGCCTGTATATATGTATGTATATATAAATACATACGCACATGAATGCACACACATATACTACAATGTCTCAAATTCAGACTGAGAATTGGAGGAGGTCAAACCTGAGAAAATGGCTTGGACTATCCTGTAGACAAGAGCAGGATTAACAAAACGAAGCACCTTAAATCTTTTCCAGGCCCGCCACATTCTGAAACCAAGTCTAGTCCCCCACCTCTCTTCTAGACTCCTGTAAAAGGTTGATTTACCTAAATCAGGTTTCTTTCTTCACTCCAGTATGATTTTCCCAAATCCAATTCAATGATTTCCCCAAATATGACTGCCTAAATTATTTTCCTAAGCTGTAAATACGACTACATTGCCTACCTACTCAATAAACTTTAGTGACTACCTATTACCTCCAGCATCAAATATAAAGTCTTCTGATTGGTTTTTGGAGCCTCACCCTTTTCCTACCTTTCCACAACTTTACTCTCATCTACTTATTCTATGAGCCAATGAAATAAAGGCTTTCTTGCTATTCCCCACATAAAAACTCGAATCCTTGCCTTTTCACTCCCATGCCTAGAATGTTCTACCCCCTCACCTCCACCTTCTTCTGGCTTCCATGACTCAGCTCAAATCCCTCCTTCTAAAGGAGGACTTCCCCAGTCCCCTCTCCCAGCCCCTAACCAGCACTGCTTTCCTTCCAATTTTACCTCCCTCTTATACTGTATATATTTTGTATGAACAACTGTTTGCTAGCTGTCTGTTCCATTAGAATGTGAGCTCCTTGAAGACATGGGACCACGTTTTTTCTTTCTTTGTATACCCAGTGCTTGGCACAGTGCATGGCACATGGTAAACTCTTAATATCTGTTAACTGTGTTACAGAGATGCAGAGACATAGACAATCACAGACACAAGTGTCACAGAGATATAGAGCAAGACAGCAAGATCTAGACACAGAGGGTCAGACAAAGTCACATCTTTTGTAGTCATTTCTTTCTGCTCATACCACCAACACCTTAGTTCAGGCCTTCATCATCTCACCAGACTATTGCAATGTTCTCTTACTAGGTATTCCCTGTTTCTAGTCTTCCTCTTCTCTAATCTATCCTCCATACAGCAGACAAATTGAGATATATATATATGTATATAATATATATAATTTATATATTTTATATATATAATATGTAATATATATATAATATATTTTTTATATATATGTATATATATATATATATATATATATATTTTTTTTTTTTTTTTGTGAAGTGACTCAGGTCTTCCTGAATCCAGGGCCAGTGCTCTATCCACTGCGCCATCTAGCTGCCCCAACAAATTTATATTCTTAAAGCCTAGGTCTGCCCATATTACTCCTCTGATCAAGAAGGTTGAGTGGCTCCCTATAGCTCAAAAGAGAAAATAAAAACACCTCCAAATGACATTTAACTTCCTTCGCATTGTGGCTCAAATCTATCTTTCAAAACTGATTTCACATTATTTCCTTTCACACACTTGACATTTCAGCCAGCCAGGTCTACTTGTGGTTTTCTGTACATTACACTTCATCTTCAGGCCCCCTTTCGTACCAGCCTTCCCTTGCATCGAGAATTCTCTCCTTCATTACCTCCACTTCTGTTTTGTACCCAGAAAAATGTAAGCTACTTGAAAGCAGGATGTATTTTCTTTACATCCCCAGCGTCTCTGCCTACAGGAGGCATTCAATGCTTGATGAATGAATGGTGTAATGCGGCAGCCATAAATGCTAAAATACCATGTTTAGTGTTGGATTTAAAGTCAAGGGTCCTGGTTTTGAATCCTGGTTCTATGACTTATTATGTATGACCTTGGGAAATTCTTAATGTTTAGGACTCATTTTTCTCATCTAAAGATGGGGGAGTAACTAAATGATATTTACATTTCCTATCACATCTACACCTCAATTCACCTCATATGGGATAAAATATCTACTGGTGAGAGACCACAGCAGGAACACTGTGCTTGGCTCTGCACACTACATTTTTAAAAGGGCCCTGACAAACTGTAGCACATTTGGAAGAGGTTGACCAGAATGGTGAGAACTGAAAAACGTGTGTTATGAGTCAATGAGAGATGCTTAAAGACTGGAGAAAGAAGGATTTTATTAAGTAGAATTAGCTCTCTTCAAGCATTTGGATGGCTATTGCACACAAGATGGATTTGCTTTGCTTTACGGTTGCACTGCAAATCTCGTGGGAAATATGGCGGGGTGGGGGGGTTGTGGGGGTATGGGGGGTGTGGGGACTGCCTAATAATTAAGGTTATGGGTCAGGATAAAAAGAAACATTTACATAGCACTTTATAGTAAAACATTTTATATAATGTCCTTTGATTCCCTTTTTTGGGCCTACAACCACTTTAGCAGGGCAAAAACCTCTATGGAATCCTGGTCCCTACTTGTTTTAGTTTGTCACTGCCAAAAAATTCTGTAGAATTTTTGATGAGACACTAGTTTTTAATCAAATATAAGCAAATTCTTTGATGGGATAAAAGGACTTAGAGCTGGAAGGAACCACAGAAGCCATCTAATTCAATTCACTCCTTTCCTAGTTGAAGATACCTCAGTATCCACAGAGCGGTTATGACTCCCCTAAGGCTGCACAGTATCACTGCTGGGGTTTACCTAAGGCTCATTTCTGGACTTGTATTGTAGTCAAGAGTGGATTCAAACCCAGTTCTCCTGGTTTCAAACTAGGTGTTTTACTCTCCAATACACTAGGAATTCCTGATTACTGGAACAATGGGGAATAAGACCCTGAGAATTCTTTAGCTGGGATCCCACCTAACCTAAGGATTAGGCTAAAAGACTATCTGGTCCAATCCTCTGGAAGTCAGTGAAGAGCACAAACTTGTGAAGTCTCGGCGAAGCTCTAAGTCCTAGCTCTTTAGAAAAGAACTCTGTTGTGTTGTTTTGTTTTGTTTCTGAAGGTGAGGAGTGGATGGGGAGCTGGGGCGTTTTCAACCGGTGGGGGCCCCTAATGCCCCCGTTATCATTTGGGGTGGAGGGTCCCAGCCACTACCATGACACTCACTGCCTCCTTCTCAAACATGCTGGGCCTCCGTTCTCTCTTCGCCGGGGACCCGGAGGTCCCGGGCTGCTGCGTCGGCATCGCCGGGGCCTTCACGCCTCGACCGGCAGAGGCAGGGGCACCGGAGGCAGGGGTGTTTCGTGACTCCATAGTGTTTCGCGTCCTCCTCTCTCTCTCCTAAGCCGCAGTCAGGCGGGTCTGTTCTACTGCCAACGCCTCCTCCCGCCCATCCCGACGGAAGCAGATCTCCGGCCGCAGCCCCGAGACCTTCGCTCGGAGGTACGGGAGGAAACCGGCTCGTAACGACGCCCAGCACCGGCACGCGCCCGGGGAAAGGACTGGGGCTGGTCACGTGCTCCCGAGGCCTGAGGAGCAGGACGGCGACGAGCGGAAGTGACGCCATTGCGCCAGCCAGCCAGCCTAGATTCATGCCGGAAGCCGGAAGTGCTGGAGGAAAGAAGGGGAAGAAGGAGACACCCCTGTGCTGCGCGGTAAGCTGATCTCGCGAGAGGCCCTGTGGGGACAGTGCTGCTGGGTGTAGTTGGTCTCTTCTGTACAGCGGCCTGGTCAGCCGGGTTTTGAGAAACCACCTGGAAACCCAGGACGTAGCAAATTTGGCTTGTAGGGTCGCTGCCCCCGCAGCTCCATCTGATCAAGCGAGGAGCATGTGTTTGCATCTGCCAGTCCGCACTCACCGCACGGGCTCCTCATCTTTTGGGGGTCATGGATCCCTCTGACAGTCTGGTGAAGCCTGTGAATCCCTTCTCAAAATAACGTTGTTGTTTTAAAATGCACGATGGAAGGCAATGCTAGATTTCAGTTAGAGGTCAGTGAAAATAAAGATTTAATTACTTTTTTTCTAACCTTGTTCTTGAATCCCCTGAAATCTCCCTCGCACCCTTTGGAGCGTTTGTGGATTCCAAGTGAAGAGGCTTTGGTTCGGAGTCTAGAGGAGGTATCAGTTAAGTTGAGAGTCCAGTGAAAGCTCGGCGGTTTTTACCATCTTCACGAACCCCTTGCTCTTTAGACATTATCCTGTGGGGAACTGAGCTGCTTTTAGTACAGGAGGGGCTTAAATCACTATTGATTGAATTGAAGGCAGGGGCTACAGTAGCTAGGAAATGATGGAGTTTCTTCCCTCCAATAGATTTGTTTAAGCCTCCTTGGGAGCCTAAAGCAGGAAGGCAGCGAGCATTTTTATCAGGGGCTTATTATGTGCCAGACGTTGTGCTAGGATTTTTCATGCTAATGGAGGAGACAGGTTTAAAATAAATATGTATGTGTGTATACATACATGTGTATAGATGTATATTATATGTATACATCACATATATGTCTGCATGTGTATGTTACATATAACCAGTATATATATATAAATATATATTATGTAACATGTATCAATTATATATGTGTGTTACCCTTACAAGAGGCAGCAAATTTTAGAGTACATACATACATATATATTATGTATATATTTTCTAAAATTTACTACCATTTGTAAAATTAACATACACATACATATATACGTGTATGTATATACACACATTAACTACACACACGGTTACAATTTTTACAAATTTTCAGCAAATTTTTACAAGTGTGCGTATGTTATGGGTTTAGGGGTGGTGAGGCAGGTGATCTATGTGCACTGCACTGGAGTAAATATTTGCTGCTAGCGCCTTCCCCCTGAGGTTACTGCCAATTTATGCTGCATATAATCTTGTTTGTACATAATTATTTGCATGTTGCTTTCTCTGTGAGACCATGAGCTCCTTGAAGGCACAGACTTTTTTCTCCTTTCTTTTTAATAAATGCTTCTTAACTTTGGGAATGTACTCTGCAAATCCCAAGGGTTGGAGGAGGGGACAGGAGAGGGTTAGGGCAGCCTTCCTCAATTTGTTCCCTGTCTTAGCTCCTATTTTTTGAAATGTACAGATAGGAAAGGCTTGGAGCAGATCCTAGGGCACCTCCTTCGTTTCCCAAGCAGGAGCTCTGTGTTGGAAGTTCACTCCTCAGGAAAGCAACTACAAAGTCTACCATTCCCAGAGTCTGCCCTATTAGGCAAGGATCAGGAATTGTTCACTTTTTTGTCTGAATCCTCAGCAATAGCACAATGCCTTAGGTGGTTAATAAATATTTGGTGAGTTGAATTGATACTTCTCTGCCCCTAAACATCAACCTTACTACCTGCTATTTCAGTTTAATTCTGTGGGTCTTGAAGACTTTTCTGCCAGGAGACCCTTAAAGTACAAATAACCTTAGGATGAAGCACATCTTGTTTTCTGGAAATATTAATTATTGGTTTTAATGAAGATTGATTTTTATTTGGGAGGAAGAAGCAAGATATTGTCTGGGAGTGGAAACAGGGAAACTTTGTATATTTCCTATGGAGAAGAGAATCCCATTTGGTGCGTTGCAAAGTACTCAGGGTTTGTTGCCAGAAGACTATTTTTTGTGTGCTGGCACTCACTTGAATGAACGAATGAATGACATTGGCTGGTTGTGTGATTACTTTACATAGTTCTTTAAAATCCTTTTTAATTTTAAAAAGATAATAGTTTATGTTAAAGTAAGCTGCCAACTATGTGTGTGTGTGTATTTATATATATGTGTATTTGTCTTAAGAACTAATTATATAAAGTGTCATTTCATTCTCAGTTGTACCACTTCTATTAATATCTCTGAGCTTTTGTTTAGTTATGTGTAAAACAGTATTTCTATTACCTACTCATAGGGTTGTTATTAGGAAAGTGTGCATTATTATTATTGCTTCTTCTGGTTCATCAGTCCCATTTAAAATCATTCAGTAAAATATATTAAAATGGAGTGCCATTGTGGAATGCTCAGATTAAAACTTGTAAGCAGGTACAGGAGATAGATGAGGAGATGGAAGTTCAGGAATACTAAATTCAGTTCAGCATTTTTAAGCACTTTCTTGTACGATTCGCTGTGCTTTATTTAAAAGAAATGACATTTTTAGAGGATGCATTGAGAGAAATGCTCTGTTATAGTCCATAAAATTACTTTAAGACCTTAGGTAAAATATCTTTAGAAATATTTTAATTTTATTTTGTCTAAATTTTTAAAGCATTTAATATATTTCTCTTTTAGTCTTTTTAAAGTTAACATATTTTATTTACTGTATCACTTTATTTTCTTTTTGTCTTCTTGATAACAAGTGGCCATTATATCCTGTATTCCAGATGTTAACAACTGACTCCATCACCACATGCCTCTCTCCCCCAGTTTATGATATGGTTTGCAGACTTGGGTTTGAAGTAAAAGAAAACCATGATATCAACAGCATTGTATCTCAGCATGGTGAAGTGTGCTGGAAAACAATTGCGGGATGTATGTGCTATACAGATTCAGGTTCGTATGCATTGTGTCTCTGCCTCCATTAGGAGGATGGTGTTGCCTTTTACAGTAATAGAGAACATAGGAGGGAGAGAGAGTTGGGGGAGTGGATGGATAATGAGTTCTTTTTTGGACATATAGAATTTAAAATGTCTACTGGACATCTAGTTTAAGGTGCCTGAAAGGCAGTTGGAGATGTAAGATAGGAGATCAGCAGAGGAATTGGAGAAGGCTAAGTAGATTTGAGAATCATCAGCATAGAGATGATCATTAAATCACTAAACAGAGTAGTAGAGAGGGAGAAGAGAAGAGGGCCCAGGAGAGAACCCTGAGGGACATCTACAATTAAAGGTCATGGTCTAGAAGATGATCCAGCAAAAGAGACAGAGAAAGAGGGGTAAGATAGGTAGGAGGAGAACAAGGAGAGAATGGTATCCCTAAGACCTAGAAAGAAGAGATCATCAGGGAGAAGAGAGTGATAGACAGTGTCCAAGGATGCAGATAGGTCAAGAAGGATGAACATTGAGAATAGACCATTGGATTTGGCAACTAAGAGGTCATTATTAACTTTAGGAAGAGCAGTTTCTGTAGAATGATAAGGTTGGAAGCCTGATTTTAAGGGATTAAGAAGAAAGTGAGAGGAGAGAAAGTGGAAGTACCTATTGTAGATGGCTTTTCAGGGAGTTTAGCTACAAGGGGCAGGAGACATATATGATATAGTTAGGAGTGATGGAAGGATCAAGTGAGGGTTTTTTCAGGATGGGGGAGACATGGCTATAGGGAAGGTACCCATAGACAGGAAGAGATTAAAAATAAGTGAAAGAGTGGGGATGACAGAGGGAACAATCTGTTGGGGGAAGTAAAATGGAGTGGGATCACTTGAACAGGTAGAGGGGTTAGCCTTGGTGAGAGTTAAGGTCACTTCATCCTGTGAAGGAGGAGAGTGTGGCAGAAGGCATCTGAGGAATAGATGAGGAAGAGGGGAGGAGAAGGAGCTCAGGTGAATGACCTCAAGTTTTTCTGAAAATATGAGGGTAGAGGTCCTGTGCTTGCTATGTACCAGGCACTTTGTTAAGTTCTGAGGAATCCAAGGGAAATAGTGGTTGTAATCATACCTGAAGTTGTTTCAGTACACTGACATATAATTCATTTTGGTCAACAGATTCGAACTGATTCATAGCATTTAGGTGTTATCTTTCGGTCTTATTGTACATTTCAGCTGCCACTTAACTATTTTTGGTCTGCCCTTGTTAATTTGAAGGTCATTCTCCTTGACTAACAGATGGAATCAAAATAGGAAAGGTAGCGGTGTGGTGCAGTACATAGAGACTGGGCAAAGGAGTCAGATAATTTTTATCCTAAACCAAGATCTGCTATTTACTGAATGTCTGACTGTGGGCAAATTCTTAAATTCTCTGGGTCTCAGGCTCCTTTTCTGAAAATAAAAATGTTGGATTAGATGATCTTTAAGATTCCTTCCCACTTTGAAATTATATTCTACTCTCAACCTTTTTCCTTAATAATTTGGAGAAATTACATAACATGTATCTATGTTGTGCTAAAAAACATTTCTTTATCCTAGAAAGACAAAATGTGGATTACTTAAAGAGTGTGAGCCTCTTGGGTCCTGTATGTGAAGCTGTTCATACTCATATGTATTCCCTGACTAAGGCACAGTTTGAAGTTCGATATGCTCTTTGGTTCCAGTGGACAAATTTTCCAGAGGTATGGCTTTGTGTAATATGTAGAAATTGCATAGTTTTAAGAATCCTTTTAAATTTTAAAAAAATGATAGTTTATGTTAAAGTAAGCTGCCTACATATATATGTATATGTATCTATCTTATCTGTCTATACTTATATTTATCTTAAAAGCTAATTATGTAAAGTGTCATTCATTCCCATGTGTACCACTTTTGCTAATTTTGCAATTAATTTTTAGTGTTAACTAAGTACAAAGAAACAAAATTCAAAAGAATGCCTTAGCACTTAGACTCTAGCTCTTGATTTTTCTGTAATACTTAGTAGAGGCAACTGGTTGCTTAGTTGATAAAGTGTTGTGCCTGGAATCAGGAAGGCCTGGGTTCAAATGTGGCCTCAAACACTTACTAGCTAATTTGAAGATCATTCTCCTTGATTGAACAAGGCTTGGGTAAGTCACTAAATCTCTGTTTGCCTTACTTTCCTCACCTGTAAATTGAGGTTAATAATAGCACCTACCTCCCATGGTTGTTGTAAGGATAAAAAATGAGATGATTTTTGTAAAGTACTTTGAAACTTTAAAGTGCTATGTAAATACTTATATCCTTTCCTTTCCCCTAATGTTATTTGAGATACCTGTTTGTTTAAAAGTCATGGAAAGTTGTTCCAGAGTTATGGAAAGTTGCCATTGAAACATTTGTGAGGTTGAATTTAAAGGGATAGTATTTGTAGTTGTTTTGAAAAATGTTATCTTGGATTAACATCTATTATTTATTGTCTAATAATAGCTATTTCCTGAAATATTTGTTGCTCTGAAGAGTCTGCAACCTGCAACTATTCCTCTTAACTTAATGAAACTAACATCATGTCTGGAACGAGCTTTGGGTGACGTAAGTGCTTAGAATTGTTAATGTGTAATTTAAAAATTGCTTGAACAGGAACAGAAAAAAGCATTATCCATTTGCACTGCCAAGTTGGTATTTTATTTGTCTACATAGTAGCTTAGGAACTAGAATAATTGTTTTCAGATTGCTCAATGTAATTGTTTCTCTGTAAGTGACCATCTTAAAGACAGAATCATATAAAAGATATATGTGAATCATTTGATTCAGATAATTGTTACTTCCTGTTAACATGTTCTCTAATGACTTTTTCCTCTTGTCTTTTGTACACACCTTGCTTTGTGTTTGTTGTTTTCTTTTTAGGTATGATTAGCTGGAAGTAATTTTTTTTCTATTAAAAACATCTTTTATTTGAATTGTAGGTGTTTTTATTGATTGGAAAGGAATGTCCATTTCTTTTAAGAGACTTGCTTGTATCTAAGGAGCTTGCTGAAGTGTTTGGACAATCTGTGGTAAGTTTCTTTGTAGTTTGCAAAGAGAAATACATCAGTAGTGTTTTTCATCCTTTTACCTATTTCAAGTTGATGGTGTTTCAGAAAAAGCAAAAACTAATATATTACATATAGATTCTAGGAATTAAAAGGGATCGTAGAGGACACCTAGTGTAACCTTTTACTCAGTAAAGAAATTCTTTCTACAGTATCCTTATAGAAGGTTGCCAGACTTCTGCTTCAACATTTCTAGTGATGAAGAACTTAACTGCTTCATAAGGCAATCAGTTCTATGGTGGGACAGCTCTAGTTTTCATAAAGTCCTTCCTTATATTGAACTAAAATCCACTTCTCTGTAACTGGTAATCATTCATTCTAGTTTTAGCCTTTGGAATTGTACAGAATTATTCTAATCCTTTTTCTGTATGATAACCTTCAAATATTCGAGGATAATAGTCATGATTCCCAAATAACCTCTTATCTAGTCCAACATCTGTTGTCCCTTCTATTATTCCACATGTAACATGGTTTCAAGACCCTTTGCTATCCTAGCTTCCTCCTTCTGTGTACAGGTTGTCAATGTCTTTCTTAAAGGACCTTACATTTATTTTTATTCAATTTCATTGTTGTCTGTATCATTTTAGTCTTTAGACATCTTTTTGAATTCCATTTTTGTCATCCAGTGTATTCGCTATTTTTCCTTACTCTGTGTGATATTAAAATGTGGATTTATCAAAGTTACTGATAGAAATTTTGAATAGCAAGAGACTAGGCATAGAGCCTTGTGGCATATTACAAGTGTCTACTTCAGATTGATATCAGCTATTTGGATATAGTTTGTAAACTAGTTACGAATTCACTTCATCATGTGTAGAACATGTGATTTTTTTGTTAAATTCTGTAAGCATAGCCTACATTTAATCCTATATGTCAAATGAATCAGAGTGGTGTATTGGGAAGAAAATTGGGCATAGGAGTCAGAAGTCAGAAGTTTCCATTTCTAATCCATTTCTAAACCAATTACTACTAGGTGTGGACTTTGGAAAGTCATAATTCTCAGTCACAAATTCTCTGTTAATTTGGAATAACAATACCTACTCTGCCTTTTTCATAGGGATTTTGTGCAGATTAAATGTGAAAGGTGTTTTGAAAGCTATTAGATATTAAGTTGATGATAATATTGACACTAACAAGAAATGCCTTGTTAAAATCAAGATGTGTGTGATCTCTTGGGTGGTCCATTAACAGTCCTGTCAGGTAGGCTATTGGAAAGATGTTATTATTTTCATTTGATGGAAAGAGAAACTTAAGCATAGAAACTTAAACTTAAGTGACTTCCTTAATTTCATACAGCAAATCAGGATGGGCCTCTGGAATAGAAACCAGGTTTCCTGACTTTTAGCCCACGGCACTTTCTATTCTAACAAATGGGTACAAATTAACTAAATTTCTGTATGTTGTGCAGCATAATATCTTTTGAAGTTTTAGTATAAGTTATTATTAGTGCTAAAAAAATTTACCTCATCCTAAATTAACTGAAATGGTTAAGCTAAAAAATTCTGAATACAGTAATAGAGTGTAAATATAAATTCAGAGTTATATTGATTGACTCAATAATTTGCTTTCATTATCCTAATTAGATGGATGTACTCAGAGTATTCATTGGTTCTCCATGTGGACTCAATCTGCGAAATATTTTGTGGCATGGATTTGCATCTCCTCAGGAAATTCCTCCAAAGTAAGTTGCTGATAAAATATCCTTCTCTTTAGGCTTAGGTATGACTGTTGTTCCATCCATGTTCGCACAACAAAAAAGAAATATTTTGAGGAATAAGATACAGGTGGGCCTATGGAGCAGGTTCTCAAATTATAGAACTAGGTCTACTTTGAAAGCCTTCATTCAAATATTTATTTTAAAAGTTGTATTCTATTTAGTGAGAGGGGTGTTCTAAGAGGTTCTCAGTCAGTGGTTCACTTGTTTAACAATAAATATTTATTAAGCCTATGAAGGTTACTGTTCTAATTTCTGAGAATTGCAATAAAGCACAGTCCCTGCCCCCATGCAGTTTATTGTCTTGAGTAGAGATGACAGCTTGCTGGTTTTTGTTCTGTCACTGCTACTTTTTCATTCCCGGCCCTTCGTTTGCATCTGAGTCAGAGTATCTCATAATTTGGAGGTGCATAGTACTTTGTCTTTCTATAAATGTTTATTTTTTTTAGCTGTATAAGTTGTATAAATATATATTCACATATTTTTCCTAATATATCCCTATGTTACTTTCCCTTAGATACTGCTCTACACTGGTATTGTTGACAGCAGGATTGGGACAACTATTAAAGAGTTATCTTCAGCAAACTAATTTTACATTCGTACATCGGCCTTTCCTAATTTTTACACACTTAAACGAACTGATCATTTTTCCTGGCAAGTACTGTATTTCATGTTTTCTCATTTGAATTCCCTTTGTAAAATACATATATAACTAGTCTATAAATTCAAAAAGTAGAATTGTGATGTGAATTTTTTTTACTGTTGGGAATGAACTGCAGGATATAGTAACTTGATATAAAATGTATTCTTGAACTTTTATATTCTTATGTTTGTAACTTGTGTGTTGGATGGGCCTGTAGTCAGAAGGGCTCCTGGTCAGTATCTAGGAGTTTGATATACCGTTTTGGCACTGGCCCTGTGAGAAATTGGTCTTTGATTTTCCTAAGTGAAGGAAAATTATGATTTATGGACCCAAAGGACCACTATTTAACCAGCCAGATGGCATAGGTGTAAGACTAAAGCAGAGTCTTTTTCTGTGGTATTGGAGGAGGCAAGGAAGTTATCACTTAGGAGTATTGGCAGGTTGGCAACATGGTGGATAGAGCACTGGGCCTGGATTCAGGAAGACCTGAGTCCAAATCCTGCTGCACTTACTAGCTGTATGACCCTGGGCAAGTCACTTAACCTCTGTATACCTCATTTTCCTCAGTAGTAAAAGTGGGATAATAGTACCACCTACTTCACAGGGTTGTTGTGAAGATCAAATGAGGAAATATTTACAAGGTCTTTAGCCCAGTGCCTGGCACATAGTATGTGCTATAGGAATGTTAGCTGCTGCTACTACTACTACTACTACCACTACAACTACCACCACCACTACTTAAAAAGAAAGAGAACATATATGTAGTGATGGAAGGGGGCAGGGGGATAGGTGTGCCTTTATTATCAGGGTTTAGTCCTGTTAGTAAGTTCTCATTATGTATTCTATATCATAAGTATTTTAATTAATCAACAAGCATTTACTAAACTTGGAGTTTGGAATATGCTCCCCTTTAAGTCACTAAACCCTGACTTAACTACCAAAGACCCAGAGGAAATTGAAACAAGAAAAAGGACCAACAGAAGTTGTTGGGAGTGAGCTGGGAGCCAGAGGAGGACAACTAGCAGTAGTAGCAGCAAAAGAGCTGTCTGGAAGGGGCCTCCATGCCAAGGGAAGTATCACAGAGACAAGCTCAGGGAAGGGGACCAAGGTGCCCTAGAGTTTGAGGTCTGCAGTCACAGGATTTCGGGAAAGGAGAGGACTCAGATGCTAGTCTTGTGATATATGAGAACAAAATCAACTTAAAAAATAATGACAATTGATTTAAAAAGCTATCACTCTAGACCAACCAGGAGAAACAGTTAAAAGATTAGAGATAGTTTTCAAGGCTAAAGCCTAGAAATCCTCAAGAAAAGTATGGGAAGTATCACTGCATCCTGAATCCCAGAGGAAGAAAAATTAGGAAGGCCTGAGTGATGAAGAATTTTCTTATCCAAGAGCTACTAAGGCACAGATGACTCATGGCCAGAGAGTGATCTGGAAGAATTTGGGAGAAGGGAAGTATATACAAAAAGGGTGCCAACAAGGTTAAGGGGTTTAGTACCCCAGAAATAAGGGTGAGGAAATGGACTCTAGAAAGGTTGGTGTCTGAAAAAATAACTGTAGCTTTACCAAACCAAATCTGTTACATAGAAGCCAGATGTTTATCTAATATCTAGTCTTATAGGATTGAACTAGCTGACCTGGACAATAAGACCTATCAAATGTACAAAGTCAGTGAGGAAAAGCAAAAGAATCAAAAATAGCAAGCCCAAGTTTTTACAACCAAATATTCTCCTTTGGGGCTATATGTGTCAGGAGAAGTGATGAATTCAATCCTTCCAGTCTCATGATATGTCAGAAAAGGTTGAAACCCAACAGATGTGGTGTTTATTGAAATGTTAAGTCATGAACTGAATTCACTGAGAGGCCTGAGGACTCATACCTGGGCTGGTATCTCTTGTCTGTCATGGAATTGTATTGCATGGTCTTAGGACCCCACACCAAGCTAATTGCCTTCCTCTGTATCCTCTTCAGCTTATCAATGTTCTTTATAAAATGTGATGTCCAGAACTGAATAAAAAACTCCCAGTGTGGTCTGACCGTGGTAGAGCATGGTGAGACTCTCATCTCATCATTCTAGGCACTGTGCCTAGCCACTGTATATGAATGTAGTGCAGGACTACACTAGTAACTTCCAGTGCCAAGATGGTGGCGTGAGGAAGGAACCCTCTGAAGCCCTCCCGAATTTCCATCCAAACAAGTAGAAAACTGCCTCTGAATTGGTCTAGGAGCAGGGAAGTAGCTTACTAGCTAGCAGGAAAGGTCTGTCTTACTGGGGTGGGAGGGGAGTGAGGTCCAAGAGTAACAGAAGCAGCAGCCACAGCAACCAGCAGCAGCAGCAACCAGCAGAGAGACCTTGTTTCCATACCAACCCAGCAGCAGAGCCCCACCCCTCAGGCACATCAGCAACAAAATTACTCCTCCAGGGCCTGCTGGCAGAGAGGCCCTGTTTCCATAGCAACCCAGCAGCAGGGCCCTGTTCCTGGGGCAGACCAACAATAAAATCTCTCCTCCAGGGCCAGCCACCAGAAAGACTCTGTTACCACAGCAACCCAGCAACAAGGCCCTTTCCCTGGAGCAGGCTAGCAGCTAAATCCAGCACCGCAGAAAGGCCAGCGGGGAGGCCCCACTGTCCCAGTAGAAGCCCGAAGGGAAGCCTGTTCTCCAGAGAAAGCAAGAAGCTAAACCCTGAAGCCCAGTAAAAGCTAGCAGTAAGACCCAGAGCCACAGCACAAAAAGCTTGGAACAGAGCACAACTCTCACATGAAAACAGCAAGTCACAAAAAAAAAGGCAAGAAAAAAAGTGAGCAAAAAACAAAAGAAGAGCTTGACCATTGAAGGTTACTATGGTGATAGGGAGGCTCAAGGCATAAACTTATAAGAGGACAGTAGTGTCAAAATGGCTACATGTGAAGCCTCAAAGAAAAATATAATTTGGTCTCAGGCCCCAAAAGAATTCCTGAGAGAGCTTAAAAAGGATTTTAAAGAGCAAATTAGAGAAGTAGAAGAAAAATTGGGAAAAGAAATGTGATGATGCAGGAGAATCGTGGGAAATCATGTATATGTTGAATATAGATAAATTACAAATATATGGTGGACACTTTGGGAAAAGAACAAGTCACTAGAGGATCAGAGATTGAGGGCTAGTCAATAAAGTCTTGTAGAACTATAGATACAGAAATGAACAGTGTAAATGGTGGTTGCATCAAGTACCGTAGTTTTTGGTTCATAAACATAAAGAAGTCAGTTCTACAGTACATTGTGGAATTGTTTAAATTTCTTTGGTGTTGGTTAGGATTATTGATTTTTAAAAATTGGCTGATGCAAAGATTATTTCTGTGTGCAGATATTAATGATGAAGTACTGTCAGTAGTTGAAGAACTGATAGAGAAATCTACTTTTGTGTTGAAAATCATGATTCCATTTTGGGAAGCCATAGTAATGAAATTCAGATCACATAGGTAAGTGAAGAATTAAATTGTCAGCCTTCGGGTTTGGAGTTGGGGGTCATCCAGAGAAGTTTGGACCTTCCGTAGATTGTTTGCTGTTTGAATATAAGTTTGGATAACTCAACAAGCTATTAGCTATATTAGAAAAGAGCAGAAGAAAGCTCTTGGTAGCCAATCTAAAAACATCTGCTACTCGAGCTTTATTATAGTAATTGCTATTTAAATGGTCCATTTCCTTCTAAATTGTTTCTGTTTTTAATAGAATTAATATGATAGCATTTCTTGAGCAGATCACTCTATTTGATGCTTGGGAAGCTCACAAAACCATGGAGATCAGATAAGACCTCTGCCTTAATGGAGACTGTAACAAGGGGAAAGATAGCAAATATAAGAAAATAACAAAAAGGAGTTAGGAGGCTGAGTATGAATGATGATGTTTAAAGTTTGTGTTACATTGATTTTTCATGCACTTGAGATTCACTTTTTAAAAAAAAACACTCATTTTAAAAATTTTGAGTTCCAAATTCTCACCCTTCTTCCAGCCTCTTCCCCACCAGTTGAGAAGGCAAGCAATATGATACCCATTATACATGTCAGATTTTGCAAAATGTATTTCCATGTTAACTCTGTTACAAAAAAAAAAGCAAGAAAAATAAAGAAAATTTTAAAAAATTATATTTCAGTCTATGCTCAGTTCCTTAGTTCTTTCTCTGGAGGTGAATAACGTTTTTTCATCATGAGTCCTTTGGAATTGTCATGTATCTTTATATTGATCTAAGCCAAGTGTTTCACAGTTGATCATTGTTACAGTATTGCTGTTACTATGAACAATGTTCTTCTGGTTCTGCTCACTTCATTTTGTTTCAGTTTATATAAGTCTTCCCAGGTTTTTATGAAACTATTTCCTTCATTTCTAACAGCACAGTCATATTACATTATATTTCTATAGCATAACTTGTTCAGCCATTCCCCGATCCTTTCAATTTTCAATTCTTTGCCACCACAAAAAGAGCTGCCACAAATATTTTTGAACATATAAGTCCTTTTGAGATTCACTTTAACTCCAGTATTTATGAATGGCTACAGTTGATGAAAGAGAGATCAAATAGGACTGCCACGACAACATAGTCTTCCATTTGGGTATCACTAAAGATGCCTCACCGAATCCTGGGACGCAATGAAGTATTGTTTAAAAAAAATAATACAATGAGAGTTTGATTTCTATTTTTATTTTGCTTCCGATTTATTTCTAGCTTAAGGAAGTAGTTTAATTTTACCTTACTTATAACATCAAGTTAGCAATACCTGGACTGCTATTTGAATGTTGTAAAGTTTGATGGCATCAGTCTTTATGAAGAATTTTGGATCTTTCTCACAGGTATGCTGACTGTATAGTACTGCTACTGACACAGCTGGAAACTGGACTCCGAAAAGTCTTCACTACAGTTAATAAATGCCCAAAAAGACTTTTGACAGCAGAGGTATATATGATTTTGTTTGTTCTGTTATTGTGATTGGGAGATAGCCTGAAAGCTAGTCATTTATCTGAGGTCAGTGATAGAAAAATATCTTGAGTTTATTCATTTTTTTACTGTTTGCTTTCAGAGTATAGGATGAGCTATTTGCATGAGTTATTTAACTTGCTGAACCTGTATGTTTTTTTTAACCTGTAAAATAAGTAAGCAATAAATCATTCAATAAACATTTATTAAGTACCTACTGTGTGTCAGGCACTCTGTTAGGTGTTAGGGATACAGAAACAAAGTGATAGTCCCCGATCTCCTTTGAACTGCCTTCTCAACAGTCATGGTAAAGATCAAAGGAGACAGTATAGGTAAGATATTTTGTTGGCACAAAGCACTATATGGGTATAAACCATTAGTACTAAAATAATTTTATGATCTGTAAATTTGGGTTATATTTTTCTGATTGATTATCTTGTTATTTCTTATTCTTACAGTGATTTGCAGGTGTGATGTTTATGACCTTTATGATGGCTTTTTCATCATTTTTTCTGTGGTGTCACCAAATATATACTCTTTTAAATTAATGATATATGAAATAGTAAGGGAGGCAACATGGCATAATGAACAAAGTTCTGGGCTTGGAGTTAAGAAGATGGATTTAATCCTGCCTCTGGCACCAATTAAGTGTGTGAGCCTGGGCAGACCACTTAATGCCTCTCTTCTGGTAGAGAGACTTCTTACACCTGGCATCCCCCATGCGGATCATATCACAGGTCCTTCATATGGATATGAAAATGAATACAGAAATGTCATGTGCTAGGGAAGCACATGTTATCTTACTGCATCCAGAGTTTTAAAGACACCACAACTAAAATCACTCATAAGGGTATTATTTAAACGTGATGCCACAGGTCTTCTATAATGTGCTGTTATTCAGTCAGTTTATTCATTGCCTTTCCAACCATAGGAAGTCAAAGACAGTTTAGGATTTGTGATCATGCACTAATTTTTTTTTGTTTAAATTTAAATTTGTTTTTGTTTAAATACTACCTGCATTTTGCTTTAATTTTTTCTTTTCTTAAGTCTACAGCTTTTTACACCACCTTTGATGAAGTAAGTAGTTAAGTAATGCTTATGAAATTTCTTTAAATGGAGTTTTTAACTTGTGTTAAAAAATTGACTTCAGAAGTACAAGGTGGGGGAAGGTATGGCTAAATAACGGTCCATCTGAACAAAATCAGGGTTTGTAGTGAACTGCAAGCTCAATTTGAATTAACAGTGTTGTCTGCAAGCAAAGTAAGCTAATGCTGTCTTGGGTTATGTTAATAAAAGCGAAGTGTCCAAGACCAAGGAAGTTGTAGTCCTGTTGTACTTACCCGGGTCAGATTGTGTCTGAGATAGCATGTTTATTTCTGGGCACCATGCTTTTAGGAAGGACATTAATAAGCTAGAGACTCCATAGGAGTACAGCCAGAATGGTGAAAGACCTCAAGATAATTCTGTTTGAGGATGTATTGAAATAAATGAGGGATTTAGTCTGGAAAAGAGAAGACTTTTTTTTTTGTACATGTGACTCCTTTTCCTCTTTGATTTCTTTTGGGGTATGTTAGTAGTGATATTTCTTGGTTAAGTGGTATGCACAGTTTAATAGTTCCAAATCACTTTGCAGAATGATTGATTAGTTCACAGCTCCACCAGCAACACATTAGTGTACTTGTTTTCCCACATTCCCTCCAGCATTTGTCATTTTCCTTTTTTGCCATCTTAACCAATCTGATGAGTGTGTGGTAATGCCTCAAAGTTGTTTTAATTTACATTTCTCTAATAATTTACTAGTGTTTTAGAGCATTTTTTTTATATGGCTATTGTTAGCTTTGATTTCTTCCTCTGAAAACTGCCAGTTCATATCCTTTAATTATTTATCAGTCGGGGAATGGTCTTTATTCTTGAAAATTTGATTTATATATTTGAGAAATGAGACCTTTATCAGAGAAATTTGCTACAAAGTTTTCCCCCTAGTTTCCTGCTTTTCTTCTAATTTTAGCTGCATTGATTTCATTGTGTAAAACATTTTAAATTTTATATAATCAAAATTATCTACTTTATCTCCAGTGAACCTCTCTGTCTTGTTTGATCATAAACTCTTCCCCTAGCCATAGATCTGAAAGGTAATTTCTTCTCTAGTGATTTGCTTGTGATATCACTCTTTATGCCTAAATCATGCACCAGTTTTGAGCTTGTGTTGTTATATGATATGAGATATTGGCCTGTTCTTAGTTTCAGCCAGATTGTATTACAGTTTTCCTAATAGTTTTTTTCATATAGTGAGTTCTCATTCCAGTAGCTGAGATCTTCGAGTTTATCAAACATTAGGTTACTATGTTTATTTGCTTCTTTGTATTGTGTACCTAATCCTTTCCATTGATCAACTTCTCAATTTTTTACCCAATACCTAATCATTTTGATGTTACAACTTTGTAGTATACTTTGAGATCTGGTCCTGCTAGGCCTCCTTTCTTCCTACTTTTTTTTTCATTGATTCCTTTGATAGTCGTGATCTTTTGTTCCTCCAGATGAATTTTGCTATTATTTTTCTAGCTTTATAAAGTAATTCTTTGGTAATTTGATTGGTATGGAACTGAATAAGTAAATTTAGGTTGTGTTGTCATTTTTATTATATTGGTTTGGCCAACCATGAACAATAAATATTTTTCTAATTATTTAGATATGTTTATATTTGTGTGAGGAATATTTTGTAATAGTGTTCATATGGTTCCTGTGTCTCACTTGGCAGGTAGACTCCCAAGTTTTTTATACTGCCTGTTGTTAATTTAAATGGAATTTCTCTATCTTTTTCTTATGGATTTTGATGGCAATATACAGAAATGCTAATGGTTTGTGTGGGTTTATTTTACATCCTGTAAATTTGCTGACGTTGTTAGTTGTTTCTATTCGTTTTTTTGGTTGGCTTTCTAGGATTCTTTAGGTAAACTATGATACATGCAGAAAGTAATAGTTTCCTCACTAGCTATGTGCTTCAATTTCCTTTTCTTGTTTTATTGCTGTAGCTAACATTTCTAGTACAATATTGAAGAGTTATGGTAATAATGGACATCCTTGCTTCACTTCTGATCTTCATTATTGAAAATGCTTGCCCTTGGTTTTAGAGAAATGCAGTTCTTAAATCTTAAAATGCTTTATAAATATTTGCTTTTTTTAGTCTATACTGAATAAACACTTCTTATTGCAATTTAATAGGTATTTAAAAGTAAAATCTGCATGTGAAGTTCAGTAGTTCTCTCACTTCTCATGTTTTAAATACTTTCCCAGAAGTATTATTTTGTCTCAGTAATACCACTGTTAAGAAATAATTATTGTGAGGCTTTGTGGTACATTCACAATTTATTTCTCTGTCTCTTTAGATATTAGCAAAAGAATTGAGTAATGATAAAATCAATCATCTTCCTCTTTTCCTTGGAGAACCTGCTATGGTAAAGTATTAAATAGCTTCCAAATTTAACATTCTTCATGTATGGAAATGACTTAGTCAAAACAAAATAAAAGTAGTTAACTTTGGCCAGAGTTAAGAGATTTCCTTCCAGAATATATGTTCAAAGCAATGTTTACTGCCTGTTGCATTTTGGTTCAAATTTCTAGATGTCTGGTAACACTGGATTAAAAGGAAGATGTCCCGAGGATTTTTTTTGTTGGTTTGTTTTTGTTTTGTTTTGTTTTGTTCTTTGGTGGGGAAAGAGGTTGGTAGAGAGAAGGGAATAGGACTAATAAGCTCCTATCTGTGTCTGACTAAATGAGGGAAATGAAGACAAGTGGAGAAGATTGTATGGTAAAATTGGAGGTGAGAAAGTAGGCAGAGAAAGGTACAGAAAAGAGGTATAAGTTACAAGAAAGTTGTAAGTTAAAGGTTGAAAAAGAAGAGTGGGGAGAAAAAATAGAGGCAAGGAGGGGAAGAAGTGGCAAAAGGAGAGAAAGTGAAGAAAAAAGTAAAGAATGGAGCAGAAAAGAAAGAGATAGAAAGGGAGGGAGAGATACTAACGCACTACAAATATTTCTCAGTTGTCCTCAGGGGTTGTTGAACCAGTGGAGTGTTGGTTCTATTCATCCTGACCCTGGAAGGCAGAGCTTTATCCTCCAGCTCCAGAACGGAATGGGCAGAGACCAGTTTTATATATATAAGTGAAGAAAGGCCCAGAGAGTTTGCTTAGCTGCAGGAAACTGTCTGACAGCTTTCCTGTTCTGTCCTATTTTCCAGGGAGGTAACACACACTAGGGCTGCCCCACTGAGACTGGATTCTCATAGTCCTAGACTAGAGCGCCAGAGCATCAGCATTCTCCTAGCCCAGGGCCCTTCTGAGGCATTAGCAGGTAGGGAAAGCTGCAGGGGCAGCCTCCTATGTCATCAATCTGCTGCTCATCTAAGGAGTTAATTACTCATACTTCCAGTAGGGAGTAATTTAGTACTTGTAGCTCACTTGCCTCTTCTGGAGAGCCATGAACCTAGCATCCAAAATTACACGAGTATGTCGAGGCACAGATAGGTATTGTGCTAGTTCTACCTTAGAAGCTATTATGTGCCGGGAAGTCTGAGGACAAAGGATCAAATTAAAAGTGTATTTAAAATTATTCTAACAGAGCATTTTGGATAATTAAACTAAACCTATACACACATGCCAAATATAAGATATATTCTTATGTAGGTGCCGTTTTGTGCAGTATGAATTCATTGAAACAAAAATACACAATAACTTCTTTTTATAACTCTCGCAGGAAAAATGCTCTGTAAACCTCCTAAATCAATATTGATAAATAAAGCAAAGGCTGCTTCAGACTGTTCTAAATATAATTTCATTTCACTGTAGTCAAAATTATGTGTAGGTTATCCTTCTGAGTTATTAGGACATGCCTATGTGAATTTAGCTTATGAGAGGTCTGTTTCATTAGGTAATTCAGTCCATTGCCCTCTACTAAAGATTTTGTCTAATGCTTCTCATGGGTTTTTGATGGCTGCACCTGGGAACACAAACTTTGGCAACCTTACTAAGATAGCAAGACTTTGAATAAATCTTAGATAATGGGTTTTTTGAGGATTAACTTGATGATCATTTCAGGGACACCTATTGCAAGGTTGGTTTCCTGTTGAAGACTGGGGCCTGGTAGAGAAGGTCCAGAGTTTGCCTGGAGAGGAATGAAGATTAATGTGGGGGATCTACCTGTAAAATAGTGGAAACTCACTGTACCTTCAGTTCTAATGAACATCATTGTCATGAGGCATGTATCGGAGACGAGTCACTTGCCAGTGCATGTATACTGCAATTTCAACTATTAGAATTTAGTTTATGGCTCCATTTTATAGAATAGTTGGCAGCAATGCTGATACCACTGTGAGAGCTATAATAATGGAAGATAATAGAAGATATTAGATCTCCTTTATCAGCTAAATGTACTTTTTTTTTGGTGAGCAGAATTTACTCAATGTGAATTCTAGGTAAATATACAATGACTGAGCAAATGATATATAAATACATTATTCAAATGATATAATATGTGTAAAGCACTTTGTAAATCTTAAAACACTATATAAATGTGTGCTATTGCTATTATTATTTGCAATTTCTGCTATCTAGCTTTTTTGTTCAGGTTTTATAGTCTGCCAGCAATAATTTAGTAAGAAAATATGTAATAGTGAGTCACATCTCTGTTTAGCGAAAATTACTAGGGAGCAAAGTCTGTCCCCCTTTTCTATTTAAATTGTATGTAGATTAGGAGGATACTTCAGAATTTTATGTTGAAAATATATTGGACAAGATGGCGAGAGACTAGCTTTAATTTTAGTTATGTTATTAGACATATGAGCTTGGGAAAATCATTTACGCTCTTTGGGCTTTGTCATTTGTAAAATAAAGTACTAGGCCAATAGTTCTCTGGGGCCTCTTTTGACAATGAAAGGCCAACTTTAAGTTCAGAGGCAGCAGAGGTAGTTTGAACTGATAAGTATTTTTCAAACCTTTTTTTGCCCCGAACCTTTGAGAGCAATTGCCACCACCTGGGGAGGGGAAGCTAGAGGGTGAACACATAGGGGAAGGGGATGTGTATTCCATTTCCGTATTATTGAGGAGGAAAAAATAACTATTTCGATTTATTGGAGCCTCAAAATTAAAAACAAAAGGCCAAGGGAATGACAAGTGGAAAGAATGACAGTACTTGTGGACAGTATTGAAGGCTATGCATATATAAAGAGAGATCAATAACATTTTGGTAGACTTAACTGGAGAGAGGTTGGATAGCAGAGAAAAGTTTTATAAACAATTGTTACCAATAACTGTTAGAAGCTCTAGTCACTGTAACTCATTCAAAACTTCCCCCAGATTTCTTAGGGATCTTAATTCATGCCTAAACACAAAACAAAAACAAACAAACAAAAAAACCGCTTACTTAGATCAAGACTGAAGTGGTTAGATTATATTATTAATATATTGTTGTACAATATATTATGCATGTTAATGAAACATGCAGAATCCCATTTACTGTTTTCTGGCTTGTTTTGTTTTGTCCCAAAATACACTGTAAGTTATAGATGTTTGGTAAAGATTTATAGGAAGTTAGGATTCTATATGTAGTAGTACTAAGAGCCCTGGATGTAGAGATAGAAAATCCAGATTTGATTCTGACCCATTTATTTTTAAATAAATTCTGACCTATTTATTACCTGAATGACCTTCGGCAAATTATTGAATTTTCCTGGGTCTCCCTCTCCTTATCAGTGAAATGAGGGGTCTGGACTAGATAACTTCTAAAGCTCTTTCTGTCTCTAAATCCTGGGATCCTTTGCCAGAGAAAGATTTTTATGGAGGAAATACGTACAAACAGTGTATTGTTTATGTTATAGTGATTGCTCTCAAAAGTATTGCCCTGTGGAAGTTTGTTATTTGTTCTGTAGTTGGCTTCTTGCAGTTCACAGCGATAAGACTACTTATGTCTTATCTCCACTTGTTTCCTGACAGGAGTTTCTTTGGGATTTTTTGAACCATCAAGAAGGCCCCCGTGTAAGAGATCGCTTAAGCCACGGGGAGATCAACTTAAATGACTTTCCAAGGGAGGTTACAAATCAACTACTTGCCTTTTCTATTGTACTGTTACTCAGATTTGTTGGAGAAGATGTGTTATCAGTTTCTAAGGTAATATTATTTATGGAAAATTAATGTCAATTATATTTGCTACCAGGTATACACAAAACAAGATTACTTTGAAAATACAGCCAATTCTCAATTCTATTTTGAATTATTTATTTCTCTACCAGTAGGGAGAATTGAGAATGGAGTCTTTTTATTGACTTCTTTTTAAATATTCTCTTTGACAGGTCTGTCTACAGATTTTCTATTAATTAGATTAGAAGTGGTTTCAACTACTTCTTAGAAATACCTCTCTGTGTGTTTCTAAACACTAATGAGAACTGTCAAGAGCTGGAGCTGTGTGATATGGTAGAAAATCCTAATGTGGTTCTCTGTTCCTGACGTGACATTAAACAATTCATGTGACTGTGGGCAAGTCTCTTCCCCTCTCTGTCTGTCACATTCTTCATCTGTTTGTAGAATGAGAGGTTTGGACTAGAATACAGGTTTCCAACCTGGGGTATGAGAAACTGATGGAGTGGTATCGGGAATATGGAAGAACTCTTTTCCTATTGAAATTAATTTTATTATTTCATTTCTTATTACATGGGAATGACAAACTCCATAATTTATTTCCTTTTGTATTGTATAGGGGGGAAGGGATAAGAAAGAGAATAAGCATTTATGTGCCAGGTACTGTGCTAAGTGCTTTACAAATAGGATCTCATTTGAGCCTCCGAACAATCCTATGAGGTAGGTGCTGTTATTATCCCCATTTCACATTTGAGAGAATGGAGGTAAATTGAAGTTAAATGACTTGCCCAGGGTCACACAGCCAGTAAGTAAGTCTGAGGGCATATTTGAACTCAAATTTTCCTGAGTCCAGGTCCAGTGCTCTGTCCGCTGTGCTGCCTACTTGCCTCGTATAAGAAGGGCATAGGGTATAGGAAGGGTTATTGAAAGCCAAGGGGTATAGGAACTGAGAAAGATTGGGAACCCTGGACTAGAGGATCATTGAGATCTCTTCTAGCTCTAATAGCATATAATTCTATCATTTTATGAACTAAAAAATCCTTTTTTTCAAAACTGTATATTAAGCTAGTAAATATATAAAAGATTTTCTAAATGTCTGCTAAATTTGTCTGAGGATGGGACATACCAAGACAATTGTTATTAAAGCTGTCATTTTAAAAAATTTTGTTACAATGTTTTATTTATTAAATTAAAACTATTATTGGCTATAATCTGGCCTTATATTTCAAGTTTCATGGAATGTTAATAAAGAATTTTTTTTTAATTTTTTCATTTCATTTCATTCAAATTTCATTTCAAATTTTTTTCATTTTGTTTCCCTGCCTTTCCTTTGAGGTAAGGTCTCTGGGAAACCTGTGTCTTTAAATGACTTTCAGTTTGGTGTTAGAAAGCCATGAGCTAAAACAAAAGTTACAGTGATTAAGCTTAATCTGTGCTCTCTGTTTTTTAAAAACCAGGAGAATGCATCAATCAAAACTTTAATCAGCTGTGCAAATTGCTATTGTTCTCAATTCCATCCAGTTTCTCAGCTTAAAAAACAGGTAGGAAGGCATGTTACCTAAAGGAATGAGAGAGAGAGAGAGAGAGAGAGAGAGAGAGAGAGAGAGAGAGAGAGAGAGAGAGAGAGAGAGAGAGAGAGAGAGTGTGTGTTTTGTTGAAATTGTTCATTTATAAGCCTAGAACCAAGTCATGGTAGAGTAGTGATGGAAAACTAAAATCGATATGCTGTAGAGCTCTTTTCTGTAAAAAGTAGAGCAGATAATAATGTCTTGGCTTGCCTTAGTGATTATTTAATCCTGCAAAATATAGAGTGCTGAACTTGAGGAACTTGTCTGGATCTAATTCTCACAAAATGGGGTAGAAATGATGGAACTTTGTATGAAGGTGAGAGGGAGATATTAACTCCTCTATCTTAAGACTTGCAGTAGAGAAGGAAAGGAAAATTGGGAATAACATGACATGGTCTTAGATTTTAGAAGATGAAATTTCAGGCAATTCAGAGGATGAGTAAATCGAGGCCATTTAACATGAGATTTCTGTCTCTTTCTCTTCATTCTGAAACCCCTTGATATGATCCCAACTCTCCTTTCTCTAGTCTTTGACCACTGAGCTTCCCTGGAACCTTATCTCCTCCAGTCTTCACCTTCACGTTGCAGTCTCAATCATTCTTTTCCTCTCAGTTCTTCTTCCTCATCCTCTCCCTCTCCTTCTGAGACCCTCTCCCTCTTTGTCTCTTCTCTCCTCTCCTCTTCTCTCTTTTCTTCCCTTATTTTCTCCGTCCCTGCCTCTCTTTCTCTCACCTTCAACCTATTAGTTCTTTCCCTACATCTTGAAAAGAGCCCAGGCGTTCTGCATCCTTGGAAAAAGCTTCACTTGACCCTGCCAGCCTCTCAGATAAAATCGTTGAAAAGGTGTCTACATTGTAGCCTCCATATCCCCTCCTCTCACTACTCAAACCTTTGTATTCTGGCTTCTGACCATAACACTTGCCTGAAACTCTTCTCTCCAAAGTTACCAATAATCTCTTAGTGGCCAAATCTGAACTTTTTTTAAAGTCCTTATCCTTCTTTAATTTCTGGTGCATTTAACATGTGGCCATCTTTCCTCTTGGATGCTCTTTCCTCTCTGGGTCTTTGTGACATTCTCTATTGTGGTCTTCTCTTTCAGCTACTCTTTAGTCTCCTTTGCTGGTTCATCATTGAGATCACATCTCCTACTTAAATGTGAGTCTTCCCCAAGGTTTGTCCTAAGCTTCCTAATCTTCTCTGTCTATATTTTCTCTCTCAGGGACCTCATCAGCTCCCATGGATTTAGTTACACAAATGACTCACAGATTCATGTATCTAACCCCAATCTCTCTCCTTAGTTAGGCATCACCAGTTGCCTGTTGGACGTTTAATTATTGTTGTTGTTATTCCCATTTTACAGATGGAGAAACTGAGTATGAGAGGTTAAGTGAATTGCCCAGGGTCACACAGCTATTACATGACAGAATCATGATTCAAATTCGATTTCAGGGCTTCCTGATCCTCATCCCGTCTCCTCCTGGAGCTTGCCCTCTTTGATCATCTCCTCTTTCTCTCCTTGATTTTCAGCCTCTTTTTATTCACTGGCTTCCTCTTTACTGCGTACACAAACCTGAAGGTCTCCCTTTCCATCCTTAAAAATCAAATGTGGTACAGCTATCCCCTCATATTCTTTTTTATATCTTCCTTTCCTTTCACAGCAGAACCCCCAGGAAGAAGAAAAATGAAAGTTTCCTCTCCTTATTGCCTCCACTTGCTGTCCCTTTTCAGTTGTTTCTGGCATTTGATTTCATAATTTAACTGAAGTGGCCTTTCCCAAGGTCACCAATGAGCTCTTCTTTCTTTTAAAAAAAATCCTCATTTTTAGTGATGTCTTTTCTTAATGTAACATTCATTTCCAAATATTTTCTTCCTTTCTTCCCTATGAAGTGAGCCATTCATTATAACAAAGATTTTTTTAAAGGAGAGGGGAAAAAACAGTTCAAAAATGACCAACACATCAGCGTGAGTGACAGCACATGCAATATTCTGTACCCATTTTCACCCCTCTCCGATGAAGGTAGGGAGATGCATTTTCCTAATTCAGTCAGCTAGGGATTTATCAAATACCTCCTATGTGTCAGGCACTGTACTAAGCATGGGGAATACTGTCAGTCCTCCCCTTTCCAAAAAAAAGAAGCAAACCCATCCCTGCTGTCAAGGAGCTCACGGTCTGAGGGAGGAGACAACATGCAAATAACTATGTATAAATAAGATATATAATAATAGCTGACATTTATATAGCACTTACTATATGCCAGGCACTGTGCTAAGCAATTTACAATTATTATCTCATTGGATCCTCCCAGCAAACCTAATAGATAGGTACTGTGATTATCCCCACTTTATAGATGAGACAAACAGAGGTAAAGTGACTTGCCCAGGGTCACACAGCTAGTAAGTATCTGAGGCCAGATTTGAACTCACTTCTTAAGGACTCTAGGCCTAGGGCTCTATCTACTATCCACCTAATTGGGAGTAGTTTCAGAAGGAAGTTACTAACATTAAGAAGGACTGGGAAAGGCTTCTTGCAGAAGGTCGTACTTTAACTGAAACTTGAAGGAAGGTGAAGGTTTTCAGGAAAACCAGAAGGTGATGAGGAGGGAGGCATTTCCAATCATAGGGGACAACCAGTGAAAATGCCCAGAGTCAAGAGATGGACTGTTTTTTGCGAGGAGCAGTGAGGAGGCCAGCGTCCCTGGATTGGGGGTACTTGGCGGGGAATTAGGTGTAAGGAGTCTGGAAAGGTCAGGGCATGGAAATTCTGGGCAGGTCAGGGCATGTTATGAAGGTCTTTAAAAGCCAAAGAGAGCATTTTAGATCTGATCTTGCAGGTGATAGGGAGCCACTGCAACTTGGGGGGGTGACATGGTCAGACTTGTGTTTTAGGAAAGTCAGTTTGACAGCTGGAGAAGAAACTGGAGTGGGGAGAGACTGAGGCAGGGAGAGCAGGGAGGCTCTTGCAGTGATGGAGGTGTGAGGTGACTGAGGATCTGTATCAGGGTCTTGGCCCTCTCAGGGGTGAGAAGGGGGCATCTATGAGAGATGAAAGTAGAAAACTGAGGAAGAGGGAAAAGATAATGAGCTCAATTTGAGACAGGTTGAGTTTAAGATGTCTGCTGGGCATCCTAAGTTAGTTCAACTCTAGGCCAAGCTTAGGTCATTATAATTGCACATCAAGGTGGTAAGGAGACATTGTAAATATGTACCCTCAATAGTCATTACTTTAAATCACTTAATTGTGAACTTGTTCTGTCTTTCTAATAATTTACTTGCTGTTTATGCATACTGGGCAGTAAAATGCTGAATTACTTATGCTAATTTTTTGACTAAAATGCTGAAAGTGGAGTTTAATGAGTTTCTCACATGGCATTACATTCTAAATTTGTTATTTTGAAATCTATATCAGAAAATATCTTTAAATTCCTTAAAACAAATTATATTTTTGTTTCCTAGATTCTGTACTGTGAGAAAAGCATCAGAATATGGCCTCAGCTTCCATTAGTGCCAGTGGAACACATTCAGGAAGCAACCAGGTATGCTTCAATCTAAAGAAAGGTAGGACAAGTGGTGTACAGTCATGGAGTTAGGTAAGATCTTGATAGACCTTTGATCCTTAGCGTTAAAATTCTTTCTTATTCAGACAAGGCTTTGAAAAGACCAATACTTAGAGACTCACATGAATCTGTGATCTCATCAATGTGGGCATTTCCTCCAGTGCTACAGGCCACAACCCACCTTGCCTGCTCATCTTATGCAACTCCTATTTAGTCTTGCTATGATTTTGCTACTGAGGAGCCACCCATGCTGCTGGGGGATGCTCATCTTCCTTTCCGCCTCTTGTTCTAGGGAGGGAGGGTACCAGTGGAGTGGATGGACATTCATATCTCTTGCTCTCACTAAAACGCCCCTTTGTTTTTCTTTTCTCATGCATTTCTTTGATGAAATCCTTCATATTACTTCTCTTTTGTAATTCCTTACTTAGAATGTGTTGCACCCTGTTCTTGTCTACTGTGTCCTTCTCCACTGTCATTTGAGTGATCTTCAGTTTTATAGACCTTCTCTGTTTATACTTGGTCTAGACTAGCAGTTTTTCTGATCTTTATTTTCTACAGTGCCAATTCTACTTCATCGCTTTAGAAGACTAAATAATAATGAAATTATATATAATCCTTCACAAAAAAAATCTTCCCTAGTTAATTTTTTATAGATATTTTTTCAAGTAAAATATCCATTTCATTAAGGAAACATTGCTGCCCCCAAGTTATAGGTTTGCTCTGTGTGTGTGTGTGTGTGTGTGTGTGTGTGTGTGTGTGTGTCTGTATGTGTCTGTGTATGTGGAAAAATGTCCTTTGCAAAGGCAACTGATTGAAATTGAATCAAAACTAAACTAAATGCCAAAAGTACATTGTTATGTCACTGAAAAAAATATTTGCTGATCAGTACCTGTTCATTACACAAAGGATTTGGTGCTGATGTTATACAAGAGATGTTATGTAACAAAATAATGAAGAGTAGAATGTTTATACAAACTAGTTGCATATTCATTTAGTCAAATATAAACTTCTAAAATTGTAGTTATAAATCTAAAATTTTATGTTTTTCAGATTGGAAGGCAATTCTAAAGCCAGTGATTGTTATCATTTGATAATAAAAATTTCCTCTGAACTCCAACGTTGCATGCCACAAGGTGACTATAATTTGAGTAACTTACTGGATAATCCTCCCACAGCAAAGTAAGTCACAGCATTTTTAGTATTATTATAATTATTTTCGAATTTATTATTTATTTGGGTTTTTTTGACATTAATTAAAGAAAAAATTTTGAGTTCTGAATTCTCTTCGTTCTCCACCCATTATAAAGGCCAGAAATGTAATGTCAATCATAGATGGGAAATCATGCAAAACATATTTCTATGTTGACCATGTTGTGAAATAAAACAAAACAGAAATTGAAAAAGTTGTGCCTTCATCTGCATTCAGACTCCATCAAATCTTTCTCTAGAGGTGGATAGTATTTTTCATCATAAGTCCTTCAGAATTGTCTTGTATTGATCAGAATAGATAAATTGTTCACAGCTGATTATTTTACCATGTTGCTGTTACTGTGTACAACGTTCTCCTGGTTCTGCTCATTTTACTCAGCATCAGTCCATACAAGTCTTTCCAGGTTTTTCTGAAATCTGCCTGCTCATCATTTTTTTTTTGGGGGGGGGGGCTAGGCAATGGGGTTAAGTGACTTGCCCAGGGTCACACAGCTAGTAAGTGTGATGTGTCTGAGGCCGGATTTGAACTCAGGTCCTCCTGAATCCAGGGCTGGTGCTCTATCCACTGCACCACCTAGCTGCCCCCCTCATCATTTCTTATAGCACAATAGTATTCTATCACAATCATATACCACAATTTGTTCAGCCATTCCCAAGTTTATGGGCATCCCCTCAATTTTCTTGAGTATTAAGGCATTACTTGTTTGCATTATCTGTGTTTAAAATTTTACGTATTATTTCTTGTAGCTGAGGGATAGTTTTCTAGTTCTAGAAATATCTAGATAGGTATTTGTTGTTATGAATTCAATGAGGCAAGAAGATTGCTGGGTGGATATTGATATATACATACAAGTTTTAGGAAATTTGCTGGTTTGTTTTTTTTATAAAAGTTATTCATGTTTTGGGAAAGTGAATCCCTTGTGAGTTCATTTTAAAGTGTGATTAAAGTTTTATTTCTGATTTCTAGGTGGTCCCTTTTGCTTCACGAGCTTTGCAGCAAACGCATCCGAACTTTATATTGTCCACGGCCTGTCCTTGAAGTCGTTGTTATTCTTCAGAAAATAAGTACACATTGCCACCTGGTGTCTGATCAAATTATTGCCACTACCGAAATAAGATTTAAGCAGTGGATGCAAAAGACACTTCGGTCTCGCCAGAGGCAGAACTATCTACGCATGTTAAACAGGTTTATGAAATATAACACACACACACACACATATATATAATTTTTTTAAAAATTTTGGATGGGAGCACAATTGTGATATATTAACCTTAGGTGTAGTTTTAATTTCTTTATTCAGAGAAAGCTGAAGTTTAAGTTTTTTACTTTTAGGAAATCTCAAATTTTTCATATAATAATGTGAAATCCATCTACTGAAATGAGTTTAGTATCTACTAGCAGCAGCCAGAGGCAGCATGGCATGGTGGCTAGACCTCTGTCCTGAAGTCAGGAAGATCTGGGTTCAAGTCTTGCCTCAGATGCATACTGGCTGTGTCACCATTGAACCCCTGAGCTTCAGAATATTCTCTAAGACTAGGAGTTGCTGAGTTGCATTGGTGGAGGGAGTTGCCTCACCAGGAGTTTCTTATATTGATGAAGTAGCCTGTCAGACCCAAAGAGAGCCACAGAGTATTATGGCCTTCTGAGCAGCTTCCCTTTACAAAGTAACAGAAGGTGGTAACTTACCTGAGTGTATGAGGGCTACTGAGAGAGAGAGAGAGAGAGAGAGAGAGAGAGAGAGAGAGAGATTGTTACACATTAACAACTTGCCCCAAAGCAAAGCCTTCATGGAGAGGATGGTGCTTTAGCTGCATCCTGAAGGAAAGAAGGGACATTTTGAGAAGGTCCAGGGAGAGTGCATTCCTTGCACGAGTGACAGTCATCATAAAGGCACAGAGATGGCAGATAGTGAGAGCAGCTAAGGGAAGGCCAAGATTGCAGCATGCAGGGCAGAGAGTAATGCATGGTGAGTCTTGGGCCAGCTTATGAAAGGCTTTGAAAGCTAAACAGAGGAGTTGGTATTTAATTCTAGAGGAGATAGGAGGCCATAGGAGTCTGTAGGGGAGTGACATGCTTAAGAAAGATCCTTTTGACAGCTCTGTGGAGGACAGACTGAAGTAAGGAAAGGCTTGAGGCAGGGAGGCTAATTACAAAGCTGTCACAATAATACAGGTGAGAAATGGACTAAGGTGATGGCTGTGTGAGTAGAGAGAAGGGTTTGGATGTGAAAGCTATAGAGATGCAAACAGCAAGATTGGCAATTTTCTCCTATGTTGAATAAGGGAGAGTCAAGAATCAAGTATAATGCCAAGGTTATGAACCTGGGAGACTGGAAAAAATGGTGGTACCTTCAACAGATATAAGGAGGTTTGGAAAAGAGGAGGATTTGGGGGAAAATATAATGGTTTCTGTTTTAGATATGTTGGCCTTCAAATGTTTCAGGGATATCCAGTTTGAAATTTCTGGTAGGCAATTATTGATATGTGCCTGAAACTCAGGGAAGGGATCTGGGAGTATAATGAGACCCCTTGGAGGGGGGCCCTGCTGAGAGAGAGAATAGAGTAAGAAGAGTAGGGGCTCAAGACAGAGCCTGCGGGAACACTTCCAGGGAGGGGTGTGGATCTGGATGACAAGCCAGCAAAGGTGACAGAGAAGGGAAGGTTAGACTGAGAAGAGAGACAGGAGAGAGCTGTAATGAAAGCCCAGGGGAGACAGTGTGCATGCAGGAGGGTGGTCACCAGTGTGGTTGGCACTCTTTTTTCCTCCAAATGATCTTTTATTTCCTGATTCATTTACATGAGTGTGTGTATTTGTATGTAAGCTATAAGATTATGGCAAAATGTGATTGCCCAGAGAAGCTCATCAGTATCATGGTAGCATGCTTGCACAGGTTCTGGGTAATGGACAGTGCGCTTGTGCTTTCCCAGTCCCCAGTGGAGTGAAGCAGGGCTTGTGCTTGCTCCCATGCTTTTTAGCATAACGTTTTCAGCCATGTTGTCAAATGCCTTCAGTGAGGATGAAAATGGCATCAAGGTCAGCTACCATACTGTCAGTTAATTATTTAGCTTGAAAGGGCTACAAGCCAAGACTAAAATGGAGAGAGAGCTGGTGTGGACTTTTTGTTTACAGATGATTGTGCACTCAGTGCAGCCTCTGAGGCTGAGATGCCACAAAGTATGGACCTCTACCGCTTGTGCTAATTTTAGCCTAATAGTTAACACTAAGAAAACACAGATTCTCCACCAGCCAGCACCACACCATCAGTTATGGAAAATGGAGAAATTTTGAGTGCTGTGGATAAGTTCACTTATCTTGGTAGTATCCTTTCCAGGGATGTGCACGTAGATGATGACGTTGATTCGCACATTGCCAGAGCTCGCTCAGTGGCTAGGAGTCTCCAAAGGAAAGTGTGGGAGAGAAGAGGTATTATGTTGCTTACCAAACTGAAGATCTACAGAGCTGTTGTGCTGATCTCATTGTTTTATGCCTGTGGAGCCTGAGTAGTATACAAGCGCCATGCCAGGAAACTGAATCACTTCCATTTAAATTGTGTTAGGAAGATTCTGAAGGTTACCTGGCAAGATAAGATAGCAGACACTGAGGTCATTTCTTGAGTTGAACTACCAAGCATTTAGACTCTGCTGCAGAGAGTACAACTCCAATGAGCTGGCCACATTGTTTGAATGCCAAATATGTGCTTCAAAGACTATTTTATGGAGAGTTCATACAAGGCAGATGCTCACATTCAGGTCAGAAGAAGTGATACAAGGACATTCTCAAGTTCTCTCGGAAGAACTTTGCAATCAGTTGTGAGACATGGGAGAAGGAGCACAGGACCATCCAGCATGGTGTGCCAGCATCAAAGAAAGTATTGTGCTCTGTGAGCAAAGCAGAATTGCAGTAGCCCAAAAGGAACCTGAGATGCACAAATTTAGAGACATCTCTGCTCCAAATGTGTGTATGGACTCTGTGCCTGACCTGTGGTGAAGCCTTCCAAACTCATATTGGTCTGATCAGCCACAGGCAGACGAGCTGTGTCTCGGCCCCAGCGTAGTGATGTCATTTTGGTCCTCTTGGAGCACAAAGGACAGCAGCCAACCAAGTTGCTTCTTCATTTTTCTCATTGTCTTCCTAGCCCCAGATGTGGTGCTTTATGGTAGAGGTATAACCCCTCGCCTCTCTGTCCTTCCCCCTCTTCAGGCAGCCGTCACCACATGCCTCTCACCTCAGTTGTTTTCATAGTCTTCTGTTGATGTTTCTGCTTCTATGTTTCCCTCCTCCGCTCCATTTTCTGCACATCTGCTAACATGGTCTTCCTCAGAAGGCCCAGGGTACTTCCTTGCTCAAAAACCCTTGGTAGGCAGAGTATATGGGCCTCCACTGTGTGACTCTGTACCTTTTCAGCTAGTCTCCTAGCTCTAAAGCATCCAATTCTTATTTCCTATGACTCTCTTTCATGTACTTGATATGAGTTATATGTAGCTGAACTGGGCTTGTATTTATCCCTTGAATTACACATTTCATATCCTACTTCCATATATTTATGCAGGTCACATGGAATGTTTGAAGTGTATTGCTTCCTCATAGTCATTTCTCAGAATCTTATCTTCTTTCAGTGCTCAGCTCAGATGCCACCTCCCCAGTGAAGGCTTACTTAATTTCTCTCAGTCTTAAATGTCATCTCCTTTTTAAGATTTCCTTACATTTATTTCTTTTTAATGTAATTTTTATTTTGTTTTACCTTTCTCAGTTCACAAGTATTTTGTTTCTCTCCCTCCAACCTCTCTACTTTCACTGGGAAAAAAAAAAGCAAAGAAAAAAATTCTAGTAACAAATATGGACAGTCAAACAAAGCAGATTCCTTCATCAGCCTTGCCCAAGAACGTATATCTCATTCTGCATCTATTTATTTTTCTGTGTTCATGTTGCTTCCAAACCGTCCCAATGAAATGTCAGTTCCTAAAGAACAGACACAGTTTTAGTTCTGTCTTTATATCCATAGCCTAGTTCCTAGCTTGATGCCGTCCATGTAGTAGGCATTCAATATATGTTTGTTGAATTGGATCCTGGGAATGTGTGTTGAGGACATTGAGGCTGTATGTGGAGGCCCCTTGTTTACCAGGTTTTAGTGGTGAAAGAAAAGAGGGAAATGTGATTATAGTCAGATAGAATAGTAGAGGTAAACAAAGGTGTTTTTTTTTAATAGATAAGTCATTTTTGACATGAAGGAAACGTTTTACTAAATTAAACTCTATTTTATTTTTAGTATTAAGCTTTTGTCTCCTGTACTCCAGCTAATATTATTGCTGATCACACTGGAATTGGTCAGCATTCATATTGTTAATGAAAAAAATGCTTGTGAATACCAGCAGTACTTAAAGTAAGTATGTAATATTTTTAAATGAACTAAGTGGACTCACTTTCTATTGTTCTTACTTGTCCATTCTCTTTGACAGTATCTTTTTTTTTAAACCAGTAGATGTATTTCTTAAGCATTTTCCTCTAGACATTTGCATAGGTTTGAACAGCTAGTGCTGGAAGGAACCACAGAAGCCATCCATTATAACCCTCTTATTTACAGATGAATAAATTGAGGACTAAGTAGGTAAGTGACTTGCCCAAGGTCTTTGTAACAGTATCAGAGGTAGGATTTGAATCCAGTTTTTCAGTCTGCAGAGCATGTGGTCTTTTCAGTATATAATACTGCTCCCCTAAGATGGCACAGATACAGAAATACAGTGAATCTTGTCAAGATTTCTCTTTTACTTGAGAATACAAGATTGCTGTTACTGGTGCTGATAAAATGAATATTTCCAATCCCATCAAAAACCACTTAGTCCATCTTGCTGCCTCTAGATATATCAGAGAGATATATTCTTCGAGCCATCCAAGCAGAAATAGTTCAGGTGCTCTAGTGAGAAAGAGAGAGAAAGAGAGAGAGAGGAGTTGGTGTGAATGAAACAGGCTAAACCACCACTGTTACCACCTACCCAATGAAAGCAACCTAGGACCTCATCTCTAAGAACCCTGATAATAGCAGTATCACCATGGGCCATACTTCTGGTCTAGCCCCACTACCAATATTAAGGGGAACACTCCATATGGTAATGTGACTCCACTATCACAGCCACTCCCCAAATCAACCATTGACCAGCTACCACCAGCAGGCAGGGAAGCCAGTAGAATTAGTCATCACTTCTATTCAGACCCCCAGAGAGACAGCCCATTACCCCCCTTTTTTTAAGAGCCCTTAGAGTAGTAGTAACCACACCACTGACCCTGGTCTCGTCCTGGTTCCTCTTGTCATCTTCCAGAAACAGATCCTGTTCTATCGATCAAAAGAACACTAAAGAAAATGTGTTTAGGCATCAGCCTCATACGCCCTTGCATTCCAGCCAAACTAAACTACTTGCCATCTAACTACCAGGCCTTACTTCTCCCTTGCTGATGCACCATGAGAATCATGGGTCTGTCCAGGAGCCTTTTAGTGAACCTACGCTTTGTGGTATTTGTTGCTGTTTTTCATCCTTCGTTCTCGAAGCGGACCAGTGACATCGAGGGTGATGTTTGACTTGCAAGTGGATTGGATTTTCTATTTGGATCCCCAGCACTTAGCATGTGTAGTGCATTGCACACAGTTAAGTGCTTAGCAGTTGTGCTCTGAATTAATTTATACATTCATGTAGCTAACAGCCTCAGTGATTGCTAAGGAAGATTCAATTTTTCTTATCTGATAAATTCTTATTATATCTCAATGATTTAGAACAAAATCTGTTTGGCAGAACTGAATTTTTCAGGTGTAGGAGAGGACAACACATTTCCAAAATATCTAAAGCCTCCTGTAGTATTAAGGTCTAAAGACATATCATAACCCTTGTAGCCTCCTTGCCTATATCCTAAGACCTGAAAGCTCAAGGGACACAGGGATCATATTAGCTCTTTGAGGATTCCTTGAGGCTGTAGCTGGTAGTCATAACAATCCCCTCAGAAGCCCTTTACATTTGCTCTGGCAACTCAAAAATCAGATGTATGAGTACCTTGGTATGGTAGAAAGAACGCTGGATTTAGAGTCAAAGGATGTTGGTTTGAATTGGGCAAGTCACTTCATCTCTCTGTTCTCTGAGCCTGAGTTTCCTCATCTGTAAAATGAGAAGGTTGATGTAGATGACATCTGAGGTCTCTTCCTGCTCTAAATCTAGGTCCTGTGAATTTAATGGATTGTAAGCTCACGGTAAAGACACTAGCAAAATCCCTAGCAAATAACACTAGGTTTTATTAGTAGAGGTATAGTGTCGTAGTGCAGTGATGTCAGACTCGGACAGAAATGGGTCCACTACATTCATATAGATTTCTGTGGGCCAGATGTTGACTTAGTTTTGCTATGTAATGTTATCTATGTTTTAGTGTAATTTCACAGATTTTGTTAAATATTTGCATTTTAATCAGGTTCAGGCTGCACTTGGGAATGTTAGGGGCTGCATGAGGCCTACAGACCATGTGTTTGACACCTCTGTCCTAGATCAAAGTAGATGGTAGTTTCACTATATTTTGCATTATTCAAACTATATCTTGCTGTATTCATGTTTTCTTCTGGGCACCACGTTTTAAGATAGACTTTGATGAATTGGACCACAGTCAGAAAAGTATAAGTAGGGCAGTGAGGGAAACGGGAACCAGGAGTGGAACTGAAAACCATAATGTGTTAAGAATAGTCTGGGGGAAAAAAGACTTGGGGTGAGGGAAGGCATTGTAACTACCTTTGGATACTTGAGGATAAAGAAGAGAGATCAAATTTTTTTCTTTGTGGAAGCAAATTTTGATTGAGTTTGAGAAATAATTTTCTAACAGAGATAGAATAGAAGAATTTTCTATCCAGAGGTAGAATAGACTGTATCTTGTGAGGTGACTTTGGTCACTAGAATTGTTCAGGCATAGGCGTGCTACAGTCTTATCAGGAATCTTGTACAGAAAATACCTGGGTGGAGTGAGTGGTTGAACTAGATCAGCACTTCTTAAACTGTCAGTTGCGACCCCATATGGGGTCACAAAAAATTTGGCAACAGTAAAAGGTTTCTGAGTAAGCAATGACCAAAAATTAATTCAAAATGAAATGGGTGATGAATCCAAGGTGTTTTTGGCAGTGCTTGCCTGTGTAGCATCATGCAGCTTCACTGCAGCCTTGGTTCTGATCACAAAGCATGTGCACTTTGCACTGCGCATGCCCGCAGGCCACACAACATAGCAAGAGGAAAAAGTTTAAGAAGCCCTGGACTAGATGACCTCTGAAGGTTCTGTAATGCTAACATTTGGTTAACTAGTATCTGGATGTATGAGAGTCTGTAAAACAATCCTGGCAGAAGTTTAAGCTTTTTTGATAATTATTTCAATCTCTAACAATATTTATTTTCAGGGAAATTTCCCTTTCTTCTAGGGTATTTACTTTGACTTTGACTTTATGTTAATTTCTTCATGTTTATTCCTCGAAGAAGGTCATCAAGTCTATTTAATAAGTACTGATATGTTTAAAAATGACTGGAAAAACAAATCTCTTTTCAAAAGAACTAACATTTAGTCTGATGACTTTGTGCTTTACATTTTATGGGCTGGTATAGGGTAAACAGTTCAAGTCCCCAAGGAAAAACGATAGTATATGTCTCTTACAATCATTCTACTTTAATTCATTTTTCTCTTGTTTTCTAATTGCCCAAACCTTAAAATCTTCATCAAACATTTTTGAGAGCCCATTTGTATATGGTGTTGTATCAAGGGAATGATATGTGTTCTGCTTACTCTAGTCTTGGTTTTGATATAGAAGGAAGATAGTTTGGGAGTAATCTGGGAAAGAAGAGAAAGCAGTTTAACTAATTAGGGTGATTGATAGATGAACTAGTATCAGAAAAAATTATAGTTTTTTCCAGTCTTTTTTCTCTTTTTTTTTCCCCCAACAGGTTCTTGAAGTCAGTCTTGCAGTACACTGAGAACTTGGTGACTTATTCCAACCAAGAAAAAAACAAATGGGATGAATCCACCAATATTACACATCTAGTTTTAGTAAAAATATTGACTTTTAGTGACAAAAAGCAAATGTTAATACACTTAGCCAAGGAAATCCCCAAATAAAGTTATTTTATGACAATTCTTCATGAGTCAAAGGCTAATAGTATGACAGTTTCCCCTTCAGTAGTTTGCTGTTAGATTGAAAAATTTTGGAAACCTAAAGTGTAGTTTCCCAAGCTTCTTAAAATTTGGTGTTACCAATATAGCCTAAGTCCTGGAAACCCTTCATTCCTCTATTGCAAGAGCAGCAAGAAAATATAAGATCTCACATTTTGTTCTAACAATACCTTTCCTGAAGTGATTCACACAGCTGTCATAGCATATTGATAATGTCTAGACAGACAGTCTCATCTGAGAGTCTCAGAGTACATATAAATGTGAATTTATTAATCTTCTCACCCTTTGAGTTTTGTGGGGAAACAAATCTCCTTCATTGCATATTTGAAAGAGGGAAACCAAGACAGAGCTGGGACAGGAATCCAAGTCACCTAGCTTCCCATAAGGAAGAAGACGACTAGTCCTGGTTATTTTACTAGTTACCTTTCTTCCTACAGGAATGGGAAATTCAGCCTTATGGGACTTTTTGTGGAAAACACATGAAAATGCAGTATAGAATCCCTTATGGGGATTTGAATGACAGGTTGAACCATGTCTAATTGAATCTGACTCAGAAAAAAATGTCTCAAGCAATGAGATGTCCATCATTTCTCTCAAAAGATGATTCCAGAGCCAAACCAAACTGCGGGTCTTTTCAGATCACGACCACAATGCAAACACAAAGTCCCCTGACTCCTCAGTTATCTTACCAGCTGTTGCAAAAGCATGTAGAAAAACTAAGGCTGGTTAACATTTAGATTAGGGAAAGGTAACTCTAACAGACTAGGTAATAGGAATTTAGAAATGTTACTGTTTTCACTAAATTTTTTTTGTCATCTGTACCCTTATTTGTATTTTAAGTCAAATTGTGAAGTTTTTTTAGTAACATTCTAGTGTATAAATCACTTTTAATACGATGCAAAAAAAAATTCTTTTTACAAAAGCAAAATGGCCCAGTGGGACAGGTGGGAAGAACACTGATTTTAAAGTCAGAGGAACTGGTTTCAAATCCTGTTTCTGACACTAATACTTACTAGTGTGACTTTGGAAATTTAGCCTCCTCATGCCTCAGTATCCTTATCTGTATAATGAAGGTGGTTGGACTAGACCAGTGGCTTTAAACTTAAGTAAAAATGGGTGATAGGGCACTAAACCACACGTAAGGATCCCCATGGGCCACATACTAACTTAGAAACTCACATGTTAA